TGTATATAGAGCTTATGTGGTGGGAGTACTAAACAGGATGCTCCTAATCTTACCTGCCTCCGTGCTCGAGTGAGTCGTCCTGTTGGGCTCCCCTAATATAAAGCATATCAAGCACCTCAATCTACCTTTTTAAAAAAAATAATAAGTTAAAAAAAGAAATAAACACGTCAAATTTCCTAATTAATAAAGATATCCATACTAGAAAAATCCGCACTTTAAATTACTACTGTTTATGAAAGAGCAAGATAAAACATTTACCATTATTCATTATTACTTCAACACCTTATACTACTATATACGCTTTTTGAATGCCCACATTATGTTATGAAATTTACTATTCGTACACTCGTATTTTGACAAAATATAAGGACATTTAAAAGACAAAAAAGATTTTAACATTTTGAAGTTTTCATTTAGTATGTTTCGTGCATAACTTGGAAAATACCATGTCATTCTACTATTCATAATTTTTTATATAAAAAGGTTTTGTTACCCATTTCCCTCGGTTTTTCTGATGCATTTTTTACAGTAGCTTATTGATGGTAAAGTAAAGACCAAAAAGCTTTAATAAAGGACTAGATTTTAGAACGTCCGATCCTTCGTAAGTATTGGAAAACAATACGTGAACGTGATTGTTCTGCTCCTTGACATATTTGATCTTATTTAAATCACTTCAACTATACCTGAACTGTCCAACCAAGCATGTAGCCTATCCATTTAACCATATAGACATTGCTTATGGATAACAATGTAAAATTCGAATTGATGATAGAGCTGTTCATCAGCCGTATCAATTGTTATTTGCATGCTGGTTGGTATTCGTATCAATACACAGCGCACACCAGGACGCTTTCTAATTCGACTATTAAATCATTCACTGAAGCACATATTCATAATTTTTATTTAGAAAATAGTGAGAGCAGCGCATCTGGCGTGAAAATTTTCCAAATTGAAATTCAAAAGCAATTAGATTTTAATGCATCGTAAATCTCTGATCAATTGTTTCACTAATAACATCTGTCGTGAGGGCATCTAGAGGGTCACACTGTGGATGAATTGTAGAGAAGACTGGTTACAACTTTTACACGTCTGCTGAATTCCACACGATCCGTATTTACTGCGGTAAGTATTATCTGTATTTACCAATCATTCCATCAGTGTCAGAGGATTTGTATGTAGTAACCTTTCTGCATCATTACACACACTCAATACATATCACATTCCGTGGCAAATATTAACAGATCACATTAAAAACTGACCGTGTGACATTCACCTAAGATACAAGCTGAACGATCTTTTGGTCACAGCTATAACCTCGAAGTTATAGTCAAACCAGAATTGATGACAGTAGCCGAAGTCATCGCACGCCACTGCTTTGACGCTGGCCTCCGCGTAATAGCAGTGGCGTACGATGAGTTTCACTACTGTCATCAATTTTGGTATTCTACTATAGTGTATACAGACACACTGGCAGAAACCTGTGGGTGCAAAGTCACATGAGAATATATGGTAATGAGGGAACTGATGAGTATGCTGAGAAAAGTAGCTACCCTCTTGCTTAAAGTTTGAACCAGAGTCTTTCATTTCATACAGCTTCTCACGATTCACGTTTGTATCCATTCGTGTGAAATTAACACCAACAAATGTGGAACAGAGCAATGGAAATGAGAAACAATCAGTCCAGGAGAGTGTTGAGGGGACCGTCAAGCGCCAAACACAGCAAAAGCTCTTTTTTCGTATAGCGAAGCAGCAGCTTAGGCAGAAGCCTTAATACTAGAGCACCGCGGCTGCGATGAGGAACTTGTTAATCCGATTTTTGAACAGTAAAACTGAGAAAAGCCTCATCAGGTAAATTGTTCCACAGTCTCGATACTCTAGGGACAAAGGAGGGGTCGTATCAGCCAGTTCTGAATGCACAAAGTTCGACACGGTTAAGATAGGAGGCGTCAGTCAGGCGGGTCTGTCTGGCAGGCACATTAAGCGGCGGAGAGAAATCCCATTAAGCTGTACCAGATTGTTGTGTCCCCAAGCAGTGGTCTTTCATCAGAAAGAAAGTCACTACTAGTCTTTTTCTCCAGCTCACCGACAGATCGGCTTGTCACTCTGAATTCCTGCTTGCTGAGGATCGGATTGATCGTACAGGTAAAGAGGTCAGTGATATGTAAAAGATACAATGTCGAAACCAAGGGGAACAACCGCGTTGAAATTGTAGGATGAGAGAACTCATCAATTGATAAATATCTTTCGGCCAGAGAGGAAATCAACCACCCATCTGCAAAGCATCACACAGCTGACCAAACGCTATGTGTCCTTAATTGTAGGGGTCGGTCTCATATAATTTTTTTAGGATGGGCTGGACTCCGCGACACATCTCTTTAGTACATCGGCAGGAATCAAGACCGGACTAGGAGCTTTGTTGATGTCGAGAGGCAAGAGCACCTGTACGATCTTATGTCTGAAGGTTATTACCCGCAGAGTGTAGGGAACCCTTTGAATGGACGGCACTGGGGCGTTAGGGAAGACGTCCATGGTGGAGCTGGCGGCAAAGATCTTGGAAATCACTTCCGCCTTAGCCTTGGTGTCGGTTACAATCGATCTAATCTGCCACAAAAGCGATAGAAGGCTTCCCTTCAACTGAAATTGAGTAGTACCTACAACCCACAGAAAATATAGTTGATTGTATCAAATAAACTGTACAGAAGATACAGAGAGACGGAAAAAACTGCAGAGCATGTTATCTTTTATTGCCATGCACTGAGTGATAGGGAGCCCACCAGAAAATCAAGAGGGAAGATGTGGGCATAGTCCAAATGATTGTTAGGTTCGGTAACAGCTTTTAAAGCGACTGCATCTAATACCTGTAAAAGCAGGTGTGCAGTATGGTCAAGCAGCAAACGAACCAAAGATCAAGTCAACCTATTGTAACAGGTTGGCCGTTAGTGCTTTAATTTGAAACGCAACTAGTCAAATACATTAATCAGCTAAGTCGGTCACGATGAAATTCTCTAATTACGATGTCAGTCAGTGTTATCACCAAGATAGACCGGAATTCTAGCGGACCTTCCGACAATAAGTTCATGTTATTGAGACTTCGGTGTGGTTGGAGCTGAGTAACGTAAACCGTTATTAAGCCGAATAACAATTCATAGGTGAAACGATTTGAGAAACAGACGTAAGGTAACTTATCTATTTACTACTACTATGTAGGCTTCTTAAGATCGTCGCGGTCAATTACGTACTAAGTTGATTACACACTTTAATTATATATTTAATATTTGAAAACTGATCGGAAAAATCATCAAACCTTATCACTTTTAGTACTGTTCTAGACACTTCATTCTCAAGACTGGAGATGCTCAAGTAAAAGTGTGAGACTCGGTTGGGGCTAAGATAAAAAGATTACTTTATAAAATGAAAGACTGGCTTGTTTAGTTGTGTTACTCAGTCAGCCAAATGAGTAACTATCAAGGATGAAATTGAACTGATTTTGTTATGATTAATTAAGAATTCAAAGGTTTAGCTCATCGAATCTAGAGATGTAAATTAGATAAGTGGTATAAGATCAAGAGATTGAATAGTTTCATTGTTAAAAATAATAATGATATGCTGACAGACACTATGTTGATCTATAATGAAGTCATAATTATGTTACCAAGAATTTAAATAGCCACTATGTGAATAATTAGTTTAGGTAAACATAGCCTGAAGGAAATTCAGAATTTAAGCGTTAAAGGACTTTGAATATCCATTACAGTTGAATATTTCATTTTATTACACCTCTATCCGAAAAAATGTTTAATTTCTATCAGCACCCTTTTTATGTGTCTATGTGCCCCTATACGGTGCTTTCCACATTCTCAGGATAAAATCTTTGTTGGAAGAATGTAAACTTTACGGATTGTTGTGGTTCGGTCCTCTTGCAGATATTTTGACATTTATTTGATTATATAAACTTCCCAATCATTTTCTTATAAAAGGGACAGATGTGTCTCCATGTTACATTGTTCTATTAGACCTGTGAGAAACAAGACTACCAAAGACCACCTAAACTTCTGATCAATTCGTCGCTGGAAAGACAAAGAGGCGAACTCCAATTCAGCTATTTTACAGGAGAGGCGATATACGCCCGTTTATCCTTTTAGCACTAGTAAGAATAGGAGATCCGTCCACATACTGATTTGCCATATTACGTTAACTATAAGGACGAGCGATACGCCACTTCGTCATATTATAGATATCCACTCTTAGAGATTTCTGGTGGTGCTAACTCCAAATGAGCATTTTCCGTCTTGCCAGCGACGAATTGCAGTAGATGCGGAAAAGCTTAGTTATCTACTAAAATTCACTTCTGGGAAAAATAAGAATAATTATCAGTCTATCAGTGAATGCAAGATTATTTGTATTTTTTAAAACGTTTTAATTGGCAAACGTATAAGCTCCAGTTATCAAGTGAAATTCTTAGAAATGGTGAAAGCAAATAATTTGCTAATTAGCAATTGTAAAAATAAGGCGTTTTTCAATCGTATATGGGTTATAATCTATATCATTTTCTCCTGCGTCGTTTCTAATAATAATTGCTTATTTCAATAACTGATATATTCTAAAGTCATTTTTTACTTCTTGACATACGATTTAGATTTGCTCATAACTCCGCTACCATATATTTCCAAAAATATAGCAGCATTATCTGTTATAACCTTCCAGCATATCGCTCCCAAAATTTTATTAAATTTGTTCGGCGATAGTGAGATTCCGCTAAGCTACTGAAAACATATAACGTCAAAACAGATTGACATGTAAACATGATATTTTGGCTTTCGTAGCCTAATAAGATCACTTGTTTTACCGTCTTCAATATGAATCACTTAAGCATCTGCAAAGAGGTCAGGGGCTATTGATATTTTTGGGTCATTGACCCTGTTTTGGGGCTAGTGGACGAAACTTCCACTCTTCTGGGAATTTGAAATAAAAGTAACAAATGATTTTTTAATTTGTTCCAGTCCCGACCAAGATGAAGACCGTCATCAGTATCCTAGTAACCGCCAACTGGCTGTACAGCACATCCCTAGCAGCAGACCTGTCCTACATAGGGAACAAAACCCAAGTGAGCATCGCCGGTCCCTCCCCCAGACTCAGCCTGGATGACGGCACAACCTTTGTCGGTGACTCGATCAGCGTCAATGCCGGCTTCCAGGCACAAGAGGTGAGCATAACGTACATAGAAAAAGTTACCAAGTTATTTGCTAAAAAATTCTCCTGACCTCCAAGTAAATCTCGTGTTGATACGTTTTATTAGCGCAACAGCATTAATTGCATCTACCCCGATACAGGCAAGACTTTCGATTAAAAAAACCCTCAAATCAGTTCATCGGCTTGGGAGTTTTTGCATCGAACATTAAAAATCATAAAAATACTGATTTAGCAATTTAAACTCTTTCATCATCTGATACCTCATTCAGGCACATTCGTTTACTTTGTGCACTGAAAAAAACATTTAATCAAACCAATTAAAATTTTAATTAGGTAAATTAAAAACAAGAATTTACTATGTAATAGCTAATAAGTTTAGATAGTTTGATTGAACTCCGATTTCTAACACAGTTTACTTGAATCTATGAAACTAGTTTGATTAAACCAAAACGCAATCGTTTAATTAAATTTATTAATCCGGTTACCTAGATTGATTACACCAATTTATTTGAAATTAATGAATTATTAAAATGAGTTTACCTGCTCTAAGTAAAAATTAAATTTGTTTAATTACTTTAGGTGAAAAGGTTTGCCTAGTTTTAATGAATTATTTTATTTATATTCAAAAAGATATTTGGATAATATATGGAAATTAAAAAAAATAAGTTGCATTTTGTGAATGATGTATATTACAACTATGCGCTCGGATCTTAGATATAAAAAAATTAATAACTTGATATTGATAGTTGATGTTTTCAAATCAAAATAAAAACGAATTTATTAGGTATATATGGAATCAAGATTTACCAACAATTTTTCTGTCTGTCCAGAAACAGGTTATAATATATCACCAACCACTTTTATTTCTGATAATAAAACAATGTTGCACTCACCTTCATTCAACGCAGTTAGATATAATTATCAATATATTCGGCATTACACACACTAGGATATATTCAAATACTACAAAGTTTGCACAACAGGAGTCTCCACTCTCTATACATTATACAAATATAATATAAAAGAAAAGCACATGAAGCCTATGTTAAGCACGCGTTTGGTATAAATGCTTTTCAATGACCTAAATATTGCTGCAAAAATATAATTTCAAAGTTCCCCCATTCAGTCACGCCACCAGTGATTCCCCTTTACACAGTGTTTGATTTGGGGCGAGAAATATTCTAACAATGGTTATGGGTCACTAAGCGCCTTATGCTCGAGAACTTACTTAATCACCATGATTGATCCAGTTTACAGCTAATACACCAACAACGACAACATCCGAATATCAAGACGAGTTCGAAGCGCGTCACCGACACTGCGTACCTGTCGCGTACAAAGCACAAAAAAGGCGACGCTTTGCTAATAGTAGAGTTTTTAAACTTAACCTTTAGTAAAATGTTTAGTTGCTTTAAATCTACATTTTCTACATAAATTAAATTACGTAAACTAATTAAACAGTTTAATAAAACAGGTGCACGGTTTGCTATTTTCAAGCAAATTAGTTTAAAGTACATTACTTTCAATTAAACTGGTTCCCGAAAGGTAGTTTGATTAAACCGAAGATTTAGTTAGTTAGTAAATAAAAAATGTATAACGGGTAATGGAAATTTTCCAGAAGAGCGGTCTAATTGACCACATTTTTTTTCTGTGTTGCTCACTCCCACGTTGACCACCCGCCGCCCATAACAGATGAACAGATGCTCAACATAAGTAAGAACCATCTTGCCAGATAAGATTTTCGATATCTGTTCATACGTTGGGAAGTGCCGAGACCACAGACAGGTACAACCGTACACATTAAATTTATTACATCCCTGTTTACGTCGTGGTTGAAAACAGTCATCCTGATATGATGTTTTTCAAAGATTCCAAAGAGTTTTTTTAATCATTTCTAAACGTCTACTTGCTGTTTTCCATAAACCGCTTCAATTCAGAGAAGAGAATCTATTTCCAATGGCTTTAGAGAGCTACATAGGGAATAATAATCAGAGGTTCAAAAATCGAGCAAGACATACACTCTAGTGTATTTTGAAAAGTTTAGCAGTATGTGTCAATGGGAGTGTAATCTCGCATTCTACCTAGTCATGTTTGAGATTGGGGAAGCTCCTTGTGTGGTTTCCGCTAATAAAAAATATTTTTGAAAACATTGTCGAGTCTACATCTGCTCATATAAAAATTTTAATGCTCAAAATACTAGGATATGTCAACTGTCTGGGTTCAGAAAACCATGGCGATAATCACTTTGTGTCTAAATTGCGGCATTCTTACTGAGCGCTTTTCAGTTCCTTAGTGGTATTTGTTGCCTGGACGCAACTACTTGTATGTACATATATATTTGTATGCCCATCCATCTTATTTTTGACATTCGCATCCAAGTGAAAGTCCATTTTCCTGATTTTTAACAGCCCAAAGTCCAAATAATAAGGCAGAACTTTTCTAAGCTAAGTAGTAGTATACGTTTATTTTTTCCCCAAAATACAATGTGTTAATAAATACGAATGTTAACTTCAGTATAATAATAAACGTAAAATAAAACATAATACCTGACTTTCACAAAATAATCTTAAATTAACATGTTTTATAAGTCACAGAAAATTTTTAAATTGTCTTGTAAAGCCCATTGAAACCAAAATAGTTGGTTGTGCACGGGCAGATTTTTTTTTCATATAATTTTGATAATAAATTTTGCTTAGAGCAGGATTTTATACAACAAGCACATTGTAAGTATGGAAGGTAAGGAGGAGTAGCACTTATAATAAAGTTAATTCCACTAACTACAGAAATATGGAGGGTGGGGAGGAGTAATACTAGCGTAGTACGATTTCTAGTGAATAATTTCTACTAGATTTCGTGTCTCTTATATACCAATTAAAAAAATATATTTTTTAAATAAAGATTTTATAAGAGACAATGAGTTTATTTTATCAACATACATACGGTACACGTATGGCAAACAATTATAAATTTTACATGATAGGTAGGTGTGGCATCGCAAGCTTACATTTCTTTGAAAATTTTGTATTTTTAAGTTTTCATTTTCTTTATACCTAGTACTATAAGCATGGCTAGTTTTATTGAAGTTGTTTTTGTGTTTGTAGATGAATTGAATTAATTCATGCAGAAACAGTTGCCTTAGGCCAAACACTCCAGTCTCAGAAAATAATTTATCAGAAGGATAAGTAATTTTTTTGCCAGATATTACTTTCAACATTCTTTTTTGCAGTATATCCAGAGGCCGCAAATGACAATATGCGGTACTTCCCCAACTCAAAATAGCGTATCGTAGACGTGATTCAACTAATGAATAATACAACATTTTCAGGTGCACGTAGTCTATGAGATGATTTAAGTATTTAAAGCGATATAAGAGTTGTCGTAAGGTATTTGTAATGTTAGCTATATGAACATCCCATCTCAAGTGGCGGTGACACCTAAGTATTTATAGGTTTTCACAGATGTTAAAGATATACTTTGATTTAATAAAAGTTGTTCATACTGAGGTAGACAACGTACTGTATTAGAAAAAGGGCATAAAGAATGATTTTTCATAGCTTACGGTTAAAAGTTTATGAGCAAAATAATCAAAAATAGTTCCTAGATCCCGCTCTGCTTTAATTTTTACATTTTTCCAAGTGTTATCATCATACAGGACTACTGTATTATCTGCAAAGCTAGACACTTGACCAACTGACGAAGAAGTTAGAATGCTGTTTATGTAAATTGTAAACAAGATTCTACCCAACACAGTACCCTGAGGTAAACCGTAATCAACTGTCTTTTCATTACTGAATGTGTCACTAATCTTCACTACGTGTTTTCGATTTGAGAGATAGCTTGTAAACAACTGTAAAGGTCCGCCTCGTACTCCTGCATCCTTCAAGGTCTCCAACATCTGCTGGTGAAATTCACAGTGTCAAAGGCCTTGGCAAGATCCAAGAATACAAACAGTACCGGTGTACTCAATTCTAATCTTTTTCTAATCCCTTCTGTTAATTTAGCAATTGCATCTTTGGTTGATATTCCCTCTCCAAAATCGAATTGCTTATTTGAAATATATTTACATTTGTCCAAAAATTTAACTAGCCAATGTTTTCTCAAATATTTTAGCTATAATTATGATGATAGATATTGGTCTATAGTTATTTAAACTTTCTACATCACCTTTTTTTATGGACAGGTGTAACTAAAAATACTTTGAACCCTTCTGGGACTTCAGTAGAAATATAAATCCGGTTGATTAAGTGACATATCGGCGTTGAAATTTAAATATTTCGGACTTCAGGTTGTCAAAACCGGGCGATTTTCCATTTTTTAATGTGTTAATGATTGAGGTTACTTCAGTTACATCTACCGCCTCTAAGTAAAATGTACTTTGATTTATTTTCCTTTGCGGTCTGTTTTTGTTTGGCCTCACAATGCGTTCAGCATAGTATTTGCCAATATTTACAAAGAAATCGTCGTCGTAACTTATTCGCAATTGTTATTGGCGAATCACATAATTTAGTTTCATCGATTATTTCCTTAACTGCATATTTAGAAATCCCTTTACAGCGTTTATTAACTACGTTCCACAAGTTCTTAAGAGTATCTTTGTTTTTATTTATTTGTTTCTTGTAAAAATTGTATTTAGCATTTCGTATGAGTTTTTCTAGTTTTTTCTTATATTCCAGATATCTTATCCTCACCTCCTCATTTTCTGGCTGCATTAAGTACTCAGAATATAGACGATTTTTTTCATTAACAGAATTCACAATAACTGATGTGATCCAAGGCTTTCACTTGATCTCGCGCCTATTCAATTTTTTTGTTGTTTTTATCAGTTAAAGACCTTAATATGTCACTTAGTTGGCTAACCAAAATGTTAACATCATTTTCAGAGTAATAATTGGTCCAATTATTTTTATCTAGGTCTTCTCTTAGGCCATTATAATTGATATATTGAATTTCTCTAACAGAAGTATTCGCATGATGTTCTACCTTATCTATTGGTATCCCTAGGATTGTGGCTCTATGATCAGTTATGTGATTTTCCAAAACCATGGAGATACAATTTCTCTCAAAATTTGTCACATTAGATTTTAAAAAAATATGGTCAATACAATTGGCTACATTACCATGCATTCTCGTATTTTTATTTATCATAGATATGAAGTTGTGTTCGCTCAACATATTTAGGTAATTGTGGGTGTTATTATTCAACTCATTCAACCTCAAATTCATATCGCCTACCAGAATATGAGGAAAGATATAAAAGGTATTTTTCAAGATTTTCTATGAAAACTTCCTCACTGGCTGATGGCGACCTATATCCTGAAGTAATAATAACTTTTTTTGACTTGTTCAGAAATATTTGAATTTGTATATTGCTTTACAGTAACCAATGTTTATAATTTTATATACGAAGTCAAAGTTTTTCTTTAAATACACCACCACCCCATCATTTCTGTTAAATTCTCCATTGTTATAGATCATGTTGTAACCTGATAGGTGAAAGAGACTGGTGTCTGGTATAATGAATGTTTCTGTAAATATAATGCAATCGTACTCTCAGTTCATTTGATCAAATAATATTTTGGCCTCATCAATGTGTTTTCTTAAACTGCAGATGTTTTGATGATATAGCTTGAAAAATGTACTCTCCTCTTTACCACTTCAATACTTATTGTGCTCCTTCACGTTAGAAACCTCTAATGTGTTTATTTCTATATAATTTACATCACGTATGTATTCCTCCATTAAATTCCTATATAGAAAAAAAAAAGAAAAAAAAATAACTCGGAAATTACAAGTTACAATTTCATAAAGAATTAAAATGTAGAAAAATTGAATACATGGATTGAAATGATTTCCTCTCCCGAAATAATGTTTACGTTCTAATAGTTATCATACAATTTATTTGAAAAGCGACATATCTTATCTAAAAATGGGCAAAAGACAAAAGGGGAGTATATTCTTATTTTTTTTTTTATTTTACATCAATATATTTTTCACTCCAACTCCATTAGCATTAACTACATATTATTCATTTCCCTCAGTACACAGGATTCCAAAATACATAGTTATATGAAGGGAAAGACTTTAGGAGCTGCAGAATTTCAGCTATATTAAAACACGAAAAACAAAATATAGCACTGAGTACCATAATGAAGTTTAATTATGGTACTCAAGCTCACATTAGTTTGCCACTATTGATCTGGACATTTTCATAATGGCAAAACTAAAGCTAGTTTTGGAAGAGCCTCGTAATGTCACTCTCTGACCTTATTAAATGAATCTTTCCATTTACGTTCACATAAATGTTGCCACCGTTTGTCCACACATTCTTCAATAAGACCTTCTCAATTAGTAAGGACGTCATCTTGAGTCGAATTGGTATAAGGTTTTCGGCCACCACAACTCCAGTGCCCTTGAGTAGCCTTTTTTTATCGTAAATGAGACTCCTTACTGCACCATCACTTAGCTTGAGGAATATCCCTCTAGATTTTCTGTTTGCCTTTGCTTTTCCTACTCTGAAGCATATCTCGATATCATTGTCCTGCAAATCTATTGACAGTTCAGAGTTGAGAAAAGTTCTGACTTTTTCCCGTGTATTTTCCTTTTCATCTTCAACAAGGTTGAATATTCTTAGATTATTTTAAGCCGCTGATCTATATCATCACATCTTGCTTCCATTTGATGCAAAACCTTAATTTTTACTTATTTCAGCTTCAGTACGTGTTTTAAAATCAGCAATACCCTTTTCCATCAGGGACAAATTCCTTTCCATCGTTTCCAGTTTTTTACTTATAGTTTTTGCTGTGGCTTCTGGTACCTGGTCAGCGATCTTAGTTATGAACGTTGGATCATTTAAACTGTTTGTAAGGATATGACTCACTAAATTTTTAATTTGCTCGCACGTTTCGCGTGTGAGCACCATTTTTTCTACACTATGTATTTTCGCCACCTTGACCGAAGATACTTGCCACTTTTCAAAATTTTTCTAACTGTTTTTACCACACTTTTATCGCTTTGAATCGGGAGTAGAATTATTACCGTCTACTCGAAGCAAACCATGGAAGTACAACCAGTAGTAAACCACTACTCTGCCATAATTTAATATTTAACATAACTGCAGGTATCAGATCCAGTCAATTCCTTGGCAGAACAACGTAAGTACGAAGGTGGTAGCAACCTGAATCTGGACACATTCACAGAACCGTATACCATCGACTTCAGGTATCACAATTTCGACAGGATGACCAAATTCCTAAGGCAAGCTACGGCACGATATCCTTCCTTGACGGCGCTTTACTCCATTGGCAAATCTGTCCAAGGTAGGTATGTGTCTTAAACTTCCTCTTTACAATGGCTTAACTTAGCTAATACATGCCATATCCGATTTGTGGAGACAACATCAACTGGAAATGGCCCGACTTGGAGTTCAATGACCGAAAAAGTGGTCATTTTGGACCAACGTTGAGTTGATTGTTATACGATATTATTATATGTATTGTTGTATCATATTTAGATGTGCTGTATAGTTTAAGTTATGATTGTGAACTTATTGTACTTTTTTGCTTTATACAGGCAGAGATCTATGGGTATTGGTAGTATCAGCATCACCTTACGAACACATGCTTGGCAAACCAGACGTAAAATACATCGGTAATATCCACGGAAATGAAGCAGTAAGCAGGGAATTGCTACTACAGCTCATCCACGTAAGTATGACGTTTGATATCAAAAGATAGCATGCAAAACTTAAATATAAAATTTAGAAATTCCCGGTGAACAATTTTCCTCGGGTTATATCCTAAAACTATACGCTAGCCACCACGTCACTTTTCGACAGCTACGATATTATACACAAATTCTCAATTTCTATGCACTCTGTATATGATTAAATATACGTGTTTGTTGTAAAGGGTATTATTCGAATATTCAGATGTACCTTTCATTTCAGTACTTGGTTACAAACTACGCAACTGACTCTTTCGTTAAATGGTTGCTAGACAACACCAGAATACATATCATGCCATCCATGAACCCAGACGGTTTTGAGGTTTCTAAAGAAGGATCTTGTGACGGTACTCAAGGAAGGTAATATTCAACTCAACAAGATAATTTTATGCAGGTTGTATTTTGTAAATAGATTCCCAAGTTACACAGCACTTTTAAATATCTAGAGAGTTTAACACCTAGATTAAGACGTATAGTAGCGAGAACCACTAGACACTTATGCCTCTCGCCAGACCGATTGAAAAGTCTTAAAGGAAAATGCTTAAAAAGGCGTTTTGTTGTTCCTCTGGAACGACTGCGACCCAGCCACTATTGTTTATGGTTAGAAGTAGTCAAAATACTTATCGGAATCCTTAAATGCGCGGCGAGATCTAATGGGCCTTCTCTAAAGTACACTAATACAATATAGAAGTACAAACTTCTAAATTCTGGAAGGATCATATAAAGATACCGTAAACCGGGGCTACTTTGCTCCTATGGGTGTTACTTTGCCCCTTGACCGAAAAGAGTTTATTCGTACTTTTATTATTAGAAGAGATAGGTATGCAACCAAACAAACTGAAAAATATTGAAGGTTACCTCCCTGGAAAAGACTCCCGCCTAAACCATCATTCCACCAGCATTAGTAAACAAACAGACTGAGGCTGAATCGGTAGCAAAAAAAGCTGTAGAAATTTGAACGTGGAAATTTGTTGTGTGCAGTGGATATTTTCATTTTATCTGGCAAGTGAGTATTTTTGTACTAGTTTAATATCATTTTAGAATATGTTGTTAATAACTTTACCCTTCATAAACGATAAAATAGTAAGATAATATTTTTCTTGTTGAGACAGGCAAAATTTCAATTATTTGGGGTTACTTTGCTCCGGAGCAAAGTAACCCCACTAAATTCCTTTATAGTTTCTGTAGTATGCGGTATATCATTTTTGGACTGCTTTATGATTTTCATATGATCCCTTTCATTACAGGCATGCCTAGAAAATACAAAAGACGAGTGGGATCGAGGAGGTATGCAGATTATACAGCCGAAACTTTGCAAATGTGTTTGGCTGAAATCAGAAGTGGTGACATATCACACAGAAAAGCGGAACAAAAGTATAAAATTCCAAGAAGAACAATTTTAAATAAAGTCAAAGGTAACCATTGCAAAAAACCAGGAAAGCAGCCTATATTCACGTCTCAAGAAGAACACCAATTTGTCGAATGCATCGTAGCGCTGGGAGAATATGGGTTCCCTATCAACTCAAGGGAATTGAGACACATCATCAAAAATTATTTAAGTCGCTGCGGAAGGGAAGTGAAAACCTTTCAGGATAATTTACCAGGACAAGATTGGACAAATGCCTTTATAATTAGACATCCTGAAATTTCAATACGTTTTGCAGAAAATATCAAACGTACACGAGCTGCAGTGGATGAACCGTTATTAAGAAGCTTTTTCGAAAACCTGGCTGGTGAGTTGAAGGACGTTCCTCCATCAAACGTTTGGAACTTCGATGAAACCAACCTCACAGACGACCCAGGCAAAAAAAGTCCTGGTTAAGAAAGGAACCAAGTATCCAGAAATTATTAGAAATGCATCAAAAACATCTATCTCCATCATGTTCTGTGGTAACGCCGCTGGAGAACTGTTGCCTCCATATGTAGTTTACAGGGCACATAAGATGTGGACTACCTGGGCAGAAAACGGCCCAAAAGGGTGCCGTTATAATGCAAGTAGCTCTGGGTGGTTTGATGCTAATATATTCACAGATTGGCTTGAATGCCAGATGATACCTAGACTTAAAAAGATCGAAGGAAAAAAAGTTCTACTGTGTGACAACTTATCCTCTCACATAACAATACATTCTCTCGATCTGTGTCGCAAAAACGAAATACACTTAATTTGTCTTCCACCCAACAGTACCCATCTGACACAGCCACTTGACGTGGCATTTTTTCGACCCTTAAAAATTGCATCGCGTCAAGTTTTATCAGATTGGAAAAACAGTGAAGAAGGTGTTCGAAATACAAATATCCAGAAACAATTCTTTCCTCCATTGTTATTAAAGCTGATGGAAATTATTACGCCATATGCTGAGGCTAACTTAAAAGCTGGCTTCCGAAAGTGCGGTATATTTCCCTTGAATATCGAAGAAGTCCTAAGCCGTATCCCTAGGAGTACTTGCAATCCGGATGTAGTTCAATCAGCGTTTCTAGAATCTCTTGAAGCGAAACGGACAGCGATAACCAACACTACAACCAAGCGTAGAAAAAAGATAAACGTTCCTGCTGGAAAAAGCGTTAGCGCCGATGAATCCATAATTACTGAAGAGACCTCGTTAGACGAGCTTACTGCTTCTTTTTCCAGACAGGATGAAGATGTAGTATTTGATGACAACTCTTCGGACGATGTCAACTTTGAAGAGTTGGACAAAGATCAACAGATAGAAAAGGAATTTATGAGTTTTATAGAAGGTCAAAAAAATGAATTTCATTTTGCGAACGTGATCCGAGAAGTGGGTCGTTTCGTAGTATTCTCCTATATGGGACAATTATTCCCAGGGGAAATTGTAGCTTTTGATGACGAAAAAGTTACTATAAACGCGATGGAAAAGTCCCTTAAGATGTGGAAATGGCCTTCAAGACGCGACGAACTAACGTACCCTTGGTCTGACGTTCTAGGCGGCATTGCTACACCCAAGAAAATTTCCAAAAGAGGAACCTTCTCTGTTCCTGAGTTAATACCACTTTTTGATCTATGTTAAAATTATTTCTTATGTTTCTATTTGTTTTGTATGATTTATTTTGAGTTGTCCATACAAATAAAGAATATTACGTAGTCATGCCATAAGTTCTGTCCCTCGTTTTCAAACAAGTGTAGACCTGTTAATACTTGTCCGATTGTTTACATTGTGGTGTCAGTTGATTAAGCGCTTTTCGGGTAATTACATATACCTCAGTTTGTATTGATCTCTCGAAGCATAACGATGGAGTGGGGCAAGGCAGAAAACCGTATTGCAGTGATAGCTTTACATAAGTGTAATCACAGTGCTAGTCAGATTTTTGAACTCTTACGCGGCCTTCAAATATCGCGTAAGTTTGTGTCTAGGACCATTCAGCGGTACAATGAGACGTCCTCTGTTGATGACAGGCCAAGAAGCGGAAGACCTCGTCAAGTAAGGACTCCAGCAGCCATCAAAGCCGTAAAAGCCAGGATTCAAAGGAATCCACTCCGGAAGCAGAAGATCCTATCCAGGGAAATGAAGATTCCTGTCCGGACGATGTCGCGCATCATTAAACAAGACCTAGGGCTAGGGGCTTACCGGAGACGTATGGGCCAGCGACTTACGGCCACCTTGCGACACATCAGGGCGACAAGATCCAAGAAGCTCTTGGAGAGGTACGCAGCTGGGGGATTCCGAAAGATTTTGTTCACGGATGAGAAAATCTTCACCATAGAAGAAAAATTCAACCGACAAAATGACAAAGTGTATGCAAGGAGTTCACAGGAAGCTTCGGAGATCATTCCGAGAGTTGAGAGAGGCCACCACCCTGCGTCAGTCATGGTTTGGTGGGGGGTGTCCTACGAAGGGGTCACTCAGCTCCATTTCTGTAAACAGGGCGTGAAAACAAAAGCGGCAAACTATCAGAGCGACATACTGGATCCTATCGTCAAGCCTTTAAGTGGTACATTGTTTGCCAACCAACACTGGGTCTACCAGCAGGATTCCGCCCCCGCTCACAAGGCTAAGAGTACGCAGCGCTGGCTGGAAAGCAATGTGCCAGAGTTCATTGCTGCGGAAGATTGGCCCTCAGGGAGTCCGGACCTCAATCCTTTAGACTACAAGTTGTGGGACCTGCTAGAGCAGTTGGCCTGCTCCAAAGCCCACCGTAATATCGAGTCCCTGAAAGCGGATTTGATCCGATCAGCGGCAGCTATTCCTTTGGAAGCTGTGCGTGCAGTGATAGATGAGTGGCCCGCGAGATTGAAGCAGTGTGTGAAGGCCAAGGGGGGACATTTTGAATAAAACTGTTTGATTATGAATTCTAAAAATGTTGTCGAATAAATAATATCTTTCATATAAATATATCTTATCTTGTTTCATTTTTATCATGAGATTATCATGGGACAGAACTTATGTTTCTTGGAGAAAAGTTGACAAATCAGCCACGTAGCTTTGCTCCACCTATATGGGTGAATGCATTATAACATATTTTTTTAAATGGAGCAAAGTAATCCCAAGCTATGATATACTTTGCTCCACTTTTCAACTAAAAAAAAATATGTATTGTTGACAATCTAAAATGCAAATTCCAACAAATATTCATTCTATTAGGTATAATCTGTGAGTACTGAACGAATAAGGGGTTTTAGTTAAATTTCATGATTTGTTTTTATAGTAATCCTAAAATAGTACGTAAAATTGGAGCAATGTAACCCCGTTTTACGGTATTGCATCATTCCCAAACTACAAAAAGCCTTCCATCGGAAATGTTACTTTTGCGAAATCTGATAAACTACGTTATTTCGAACGCTAAATACTCTGTCTTGTCAACCTGTTAAAGCTATGGACACGAAATGCCAAATTTGGTCACAACCATAACAACGGCTATCCATGATCCTAGAGACCCAAACGGCTATAAGCAATGCAATATCTAATCATGCATATACATGCGACTTCTTTCAAGGTTGAGATCATTTCTCGCTTCCTAATCGCGACAGTCGCCTTCTTGAAGTCTTCCCACTTCCATCACTAATTTGATGTCATGATTATCTTCTTTGTGTTTCTCGTTTATGCTTTTTTCAAGGTAGCCATTCCCATTTTTTCTGGGCCATCTATAGTCTGTCATACGCTGTAGACAGCCATACCAAACCAAATGAGGCAGCAGGTCGATTCGATTGTTTGTATGATCCTCTCTATAGCAAAAACCATGAATATTAGACCGACGCTAAAATAGCTTTAAAAACGCATATCATCCGTAAAACCCAAACACAAATTGATTTGCGAGCATTAGGTATGTGTAGCCCATATTCTTCTGTGCTTATAGACCATGATCAAAATTTTCCTAAATCCATGACTTTATGTATCTCATATTACGAAAAAATGTTTACAGATATAACGCACGCGGTTTCGACCTGAACAGAAACTTTCCAGATTACTTCAAGCAGAATAACAGGAGAGCTCAACCAGAAACCGAAGCAGTGAAAGAATGGGTGTCAAAAATTCAATTTGTTCTTTCCGGCAGTTTACATGGAGGAGCTTTGGTTGCAAGTTATCCCTTTGACAATACGCCCAATTCTCGTAAGTATCCCTCAGAAATGCGATATTATGATGCGGTACAGGATCTAATCTGGCCAGATAACTGAATAATTCACTGAAAAATGGATAGATAGTCAAAAAAATCGCAAATGCAAATGAAGAGAATCGAGGGGGAATAATCATTTCCAATCAAGCCCCCTATATTCGCGATCGCTTACCACAAGTGCAAAAAATATCCATGAATTTAAGACGCATGGATGGTTCCATAAAATAGAGCACCAGAAAAATGAGGTGACAAGTCGTTAAGCCGTTTGATGTTACTGTTAAAGACCCTTTGCATGGCTTTTAACACTTGGTCACATTAGCGCGACAGGTATGCGACGCCAAAAGCGCAACATTTTTAGTTTCTGTATAACATGTCCCTCATACAGTTAACAGCATTAAACATTATTACCTGCACAGTATTTTCAATTACGGATTTAATTTTTCAAGAGCAAAAATTCGAATAAATATAAGTAACCTATTCAAAAACATAATAGATAATTCAAAAAACATTTTTTCTTTTTCTATAAGGGCCAACGTTTCTACGCCAGTGGTAGTTTAAGCCACAAAAATGTGGATAGCTATTGGGTATGTCAGTAGATGGCTACCGCCACCTATGAATATTTCGTCAAAGTTTGATATGTCCTGACAAATAGGTCGGTAACGCAGAAGCCCCTACGCTTTTCGGAACCTCTAACTGACAGACTCGTCAATCAGGGAAACACTATGTGTTCACCGTGCTACCAGCTGTGGAGTACTAGAAGTTGTAGTAGTCGCCTATGATGGTAAGGCGACATTTCTCCATTCCTCGAACGGGTTATACTACTCAGAAGTATCGGGAATCGTATGGTGTCCTGCATTATCAACGTATGGGTCGAGATGTATTAAGCTTTGACAAACTACTCATAGCAGTAGCCACCTAATCGCGCACTCAATACTGAGTTTTTCATGGTAATACAGACTGAAAGCAAGCAGATCCTGTTCAACGTGTGATTGGCATTGACCGCCTTAAAGATAATTTTGTTCTAGATTTCGTTAGCATAAGTTCAACGTTAGTAGGATATTTTGGGAGCCATGTCTAAAGGAGCTTTCCGGGCTACTTTTTGGAGTAATTTCTGTTCAAAAATATTGCAGTTGTCCTTTGAATCAAACCCCTATAGACTATCGGAATCCAGATTGATCAATAATGATTATGCTTTCCTGTACCGTACTATCAATGCATTGCACTATACATGAAACTGCATCAAATATTTCCAGTAATAGTGCAATGCATGAAAATGTATAGCATAGTATGAGCAATAAATAATTGTGTAGAAATGTATTATTATGAAGTTTATTATGCTGCTAAAAGGAATTTGTAGATCATCGGCTCTATGTTCTTGTAAGTGCTAGTTACACAAAATTTTGTTAAAATTCTAAGTGTCATAACCATTTCGACATACTTCACGCACACTTTGGGTGTACCAAAGATATTCGATCAATCACAAATCACTTGTAATAGTAAAATTCATTTTACAGTGTCAGTGAAATTGTCCATACTTATTAGGAATGAATCTGACTTTCTAAAATTAGTGGAACTGAGTTATGCTTCCTCTGATACCCTGTATCACAGTACATCACTTCAGAAACCTTAGTAGTCTATATAGCAGACTCAGAACCAACAGTATATGTCATTGAGAAGAACCACAGACCGTGAATAAAGTCGACAATTCGATAGATAAGTTCCATATTACCAAAATATGTATGGACAATTTTTTTCACCAAAAAACATCACACAAAAAACTACAAAAAATGCACCATTATATTATAGTATTCCAGAGCTACTCAGCGCCATCTTTGACGCCTGATGACGACGTTTTCAAGCACTTGGCTTTGACATACTCGACGAATCACGTAAAAATGAGCCGGGGCGTATCATGCAAGACATCACAGACTGCTTTCAGACGGGTGAGTATTTGAATAATTCAATTATGGTGCTTCTAAAAGTTTTACTCTCTGGCTATACTGCGATACATATTTGACATTTCCGGCCTATAATCAACTCTCCTGTCCTAAGAGGTTTTAGTGTTCCATGTTAAGCAGTCGTAGCCGGTGTTGCCACGTATCACCTTTTATCTAAGCTGTGGCATAACTGTAGCCTCACCAAAAATGTTCGTTTTTCTTTAGTTGGTGTAAATGTAACTTTATAGAACTGACCGGGGTGAATTTTATGTTAAATCGAATAAAATAAGCTCCGTATTTATTATTTTGATTTGTTGTATTCATCCCTGTAAGTTATATTAAGTTGCAATTGAACCGAGCGAATAAAAACCAAACGTTGTTGGTGATGTTATAGTTATGTTCTCCAGTTTATTTTCATGTATTGCTCACAGATTGCAGAAATATCGAAATCCTATTTAATATAATACAATGTTGCGACGCGTCCAATTTGATCAATCATTCTTGACTGATGTTGTAATCCTTATGGTGAGAAATTCAGACAAGGTATGTGTCTACACACCTTGCAGATAATATTTCCAATAGCCGAGATACAGCTGATATATTCGAGATATGTAACCGAGTCATAAATATTGCTCGTTTAGATGCTCCATTAGTTATCTCGAGTACCAAACTGAACTTCTCATAATTTGGAAACAATGATTACATTTTCGTGTCTTCAGGATTTGAACCCACAAATTCCACTATGTATAAAATTTTGCAGAAGCGATATGAATATAAGCCCATCATTTTCTTTACCGTATTCAATTATATTTGGATACTTATTCTTGAACGAAGGAATAGAATCGCTAAGTGGGCGTGGTTCTCTTTTCTACGGAATGATCCCAAATTCTGACTACATGTGTCCAACAAATTTTTGAATACGACTATTTTCGGCAAAATCGTATTATCAAAAGTCCACATGATTTGCAGTAATGGATATATTAGTTCCTCCTGCTTATTGTCCATCGAAATATACAAGTGACATATAAATCCGAACACCCAGTTTAAATGGTTTTATTGTAATAAAAGTTGGTGAATGTATTTATCTTACTGTAAATAACAAGTGAAAAATTTTTCAGCCTTATCAGTTGGACATTCCAGTTTTTACACTGCTTTTTTTAATTCACTAACGCTCTAAAAATGAATATTTCAGCCGCAATAACGAATCAACGTTGGCGGATTTTGGTTCTTGACATCCTTTACGATCGGTTACGATGCCTAGAGAACGGAGACCTGTACGATTTCGTCAACTTAGTGAGTTTGATAGGGGCCGTATAGTGGGACTTCGGGAAGCTGGACTTTCATTTCGGGCAATTGCAGTTAGAGTGCAAAGAAGTGTAGACACTGTGGTTAGGTGTTGTCAGGCATGGCTTCGAGAAGGCCGTACGCAAAGAGCAAGGGGCACTGAACGCCGCCGTACAACAACAGACCGTGAAGATCGCCGCCTAAGACTATTGGCCTTAAGGGACCGTTTCTCCACTACCAGGTCCATTGCAAATGAATGGTTTACAGAACACGGAAGACCTATTGGCATGCGAAGTGTTTACCGACGAATGAGAAGTTTTGGCTTGTTTTCATACCGGCCACACTGGGTCCTTTAACTCGAGAACACCGACGTAATCGCCTTGAGTGGTGCAGACAACGATCACTCTGGGATCAGGAATGGAACAGTATTGTCTTTAGTGACGAGTCTCGATTTTGTTTAGGCATGCACGATGGTCGTGCCAGGGTTAGAAGGCGACGTGGTGAAAGGAGGAATCCACAGTTTTTTGTTGAAAGACATGTTCATCACACTGTTGGAGTTATGGTTTGGGGTGCTATAGCTTATGGTTCCAGGTCACCTTTAATCTTCATCAGAGGTAACATGAACGTGCAGCGTTATATCCACGAAGTTCTAGAACCCCATCTTTTACCCTATCTTGACACCCTGGCAGATCCAACTTTCCAACAAGATAATGCCCGACCACATGTTGCAAGAGTCACAATAGACTTCTTTCAACATAATGATGGCACATTGTTACCATGGCCACCAAGATCTCCCGACTTATCCCCAATTGAGCACGTGTGGGATATGATGGGTAGGAGATTGCTCAATTTGCAACGTCCGCCTCAGACTCTAGAAGCACTTCGAGAGGAGATGGTGGTTGCCTGGAATGAGATACCACAGGAGGACATTGACCACCTGATCAGAAGCATGCCTAGGCGCGTTGGAGAATGCGTAGCACATCAGGGTGCATCGACACATTATTAAAGGTCAAAGGGCTTTAAAGCAGTGCAATCATTTTGAAATTTTTATTATTTACTTATTATGCTTCATTAAGCACTTATACAAAATTTTATTAAAATAAAACCATTTAAACGGGGTGTTCGAATTTATATGTCACTTAGTATATATAGGCTATAAGCAGTTGTATCGAATATATTCCACATGTTTACAACAAACGTGATCAGTTACGGTTGGACAACAGTTGCTTAAAACCACTAAACTACTTTATTTTAAGGGTATTACCAACGGAGCAGAGTGGTATCCGTTGACAGGTGGAATGCAAGACTTCAATTATGTGTGGTATGGCTGTATGGAAGTGACGTTGGAAGTATCCTGCTGTAAATACCCACCTGCTCATGAGCTACCTAAATATTGGGAGGATAATAAGGCAGTAAGTATTGCACCTACTAAACAATTTTGGTCATTTATGGATTTATGTGTATATTTCATCTCATAAGTTATTTTGATGGAAGAGACCGCCAAAGTTACAACCCTGTGATGAAAAAGTTTATATTTTTTTTTAAATTGGTTCAGTGACTGCGTAGTTAAAAACAATAAAGTATGCATAACGCCCACAAACTTCGCTATTTTCTGCGATTTCGAGCTCCATATTATCTTTGGGCGTAGGCATAATTTTTTTGAAGCCTCACTTTTGTACATTTCAAACATCGTCGGCTGTGAATAATTTTCAACCATCTGAATCACTTTAGGGTTTAGGGGGTAGTCAAAGTTTGCCATTTGAAAGTCTCAAAAAGTTTAAAGCCAGGCAGGGCTCATTTCCAAGGTTGCACATATCAGTTAATTCATTTAACATTTCAACAAACTATTTTTAACGTTTTTCAAAACCTCTAGGGATTTTGGTACAGGTTCAAAGACACTTCAGTTCAGTTCACAATGTATGTGGTATTCAAAAATAGATTCGTATTAAATATAATTGCATTTTTTTCAGTCGTTATTGAAGTACCTGGCTGAAGCTCACAGAGGAGTTCAAGGATTCGTGGTGGATGAAAATGGCAATCCAATTGAAAAAGCGTCACTGAAAGTGAAATCCAGAGATGTTGGCTTCCAAACGACAAAGTATGGAGAATTCTGGAGAATACTACTTCCTGGAGTATACAAATTAGAGGTAAGGCAACACTGTAAAACATCTCACTCATAGAAAATGACCAATTATTGATAAGAAGCCAAAACGTTACTATACTTCCTTGTTCGATGAAAGGTTTAATAAATTACCTTGTCCTTTAAACCACTGTTACATGGTAGAATATCTGTAGATGGTATTTTTTCCATACAAAGATAATATGGTATATGACCACTTTGGCATAATCAGCCGAAGATTCAGAGTGCTAAGCGTTGCAGATGACTGTCAGATATGAATCATAGCAACTCGTCTGTTATTTTGTGAATCAAGCATCAAGCTACATTCATCGAACAGCCTAACTATAATTAAGTACCAAAATGGAAGTAGTATATTTATACGCTATTGCTACGGCGGTATTTGTGTGCTTGTACGCAGAATTCCCCTTTAACAGTGGCATAGGATTCCTTCCATTTTGATACTTGATTAGAGATTATGAATTTTCCCATTTTAATTCAAGGTATATGCAGATGGTTATGTGCCCCGTGAAGTAGAATTCATGGTCGTTGAGCAGCACCCTACGTTATTAAACGTAACATTGCATACAGCAAAGGTAAAATATTTGGAATAACTGAATGGTGATTGGGATGGTTGTGGAATTCTTTTGTAAATATTTTCAGCCATGGCAATATTTTGACCCCCCTGTGACCTCCCCACCAAAGACAATTCTATCTGTAGATAACACGAACCTACCGGTAGCTCAAGATGATCAAATACAATTTCCAGAGTAACATGAGATAGGGAAAAAGTAAGTAAACAGTAGTATGCAGATTTAGTATTCAGCTTTCACCATTTCAATGAACACTTATCTCTATCTAAGCATCAAATCATAAACCGATTCATTTTTCTGCACATTACCATCCAGGGGCTTGATTCTAAATGAGTTTCGACCGTTGAAATTGATTTCGATGGCGCCTAGTGACGATATACTTGATTCGCTGTCATAATTTTGACATCTGATTATATTGATCTTCTATATTCAAATTATCATGGCAGTACCTCAAAATTATCAAGTACATCGTCACAAGGCGCCATTGAAATCAATTTCAACGGTCTAAACTCATTTAGAATCAAGCGCCAGATCATTTTTGTGAACAATTTCAATAAAGCTATATTGACTTCCAGATTTGAGTACCTGTAAATCTGTATCTTGTACGATTGCTATGGAAATTTTAAATGTTTCAAGATTAAAATTACCATTTTTGAAATATTTGTATTTTAATTATCATTGTCACGACTTTATTCTTCAAACACTGTAGTTTATACACACACACATACAAATCCTTTTCAATGGCCTGACAATTTTTATTTGGTGTATGGTAACAACATCCAAAGGTTGGGACAAGTATCGCTGTCTATTGAGAATCACTGGTTCTAATATTTGGAAATAACACTACCCGTTTGCTCGGTTATGCTGATGCCTAGAGATTATGCGAAACATGCATGTCAACAGTACGGCCAAGCATATAGTGGAGAAAATACACTACAACTTTTATTTATCTTTTCGAAGATTCTTTCAATAATTTAAAAGCTTTTTGCTTTACAAACCATACTAATAATAATAATAATAATAATAATAATAATAATAATAATAATAATAATAACAATAATAATTATAATAATAATAATAATACGTCATTAGTGCATGTAAATATAAAAGGAAATCAGGATATAATTTGTATAGAAAATGCATGATTAAAATACTGAAGCATGTTTTGAAGGTACCAAAGGTCACTCCAGAATTTATTAATAAACAAGCATTTCACCAGTTACACATTTTATAGCCCGTTTACTGTAATGCCAATGTCTAAGCTATATACCGTTTTTATTGAATGCAAGGACTGCAAAGGCATATATTCAACAATACGATTTTAAGACTAATTTGTCTTTTGGCGATTTAAGAACTTCGCCAGTTTACGTAGAGATTAACAATAGGCATAAAGAAGAAAATACTTCCGGAAAATGCTGCATGCATTTTTAGCCGACTGAAACAAGGTCGAGTTTTGCGTATCATTGCCCACGACAAATGGGCAGCAGGTTCGCTTTAGGAAATGTAAGTGCGTCTACCATGCAATTATCTGGTTATTTGGTTGTAGATGTTGAGTATAGCCATTTTCAGCTAAATCACACTGTCTTGCATTTCATTAATGACTCATAAATTATTTAAGACGACTTTATTTCTGAAAATAATGCTTCAATAACGAGTTTTGGATCAGAAACTGTAAACGTCAATTTAGTTATCCTTGTGTTTAGTTTCGTGGCAATCATGGAAATCACAAAAACCATCCAAACATCCAACATAAAAACCAACATAACCAAAAGCCACAAATCAGTCAAAAACTTTTATGTGCTATACATAAAAACTCTGCGGTAATAATATACTAGTACTAAACGAACCTTTACCAGATCATTCATGGACCAATGCATAACTAGTGGTTCCTTAATTGAGTTAAGAATATTACATTGCCCTGATTGTTTTTCAACTTTTAATATAGTCGTTTATACCAAAATGGAAGAGAGCATAACGAATCGTGCGCCAATGCTATGGCTGTGTGTCTTTGTATATCCGTGCGCAGGTCTCACCATAAACTCAAAGATACACCGCGTTACACTGGACAGCATTATGCTCCTATCTTCCATTTCCCGACATAGTTATTAGCAATAGTCTTTTTCATTTGAAAGATTGATTAACGTATTGTCCAAGAATATGCCCAACCCTATGCTGTACTTGAAGGTTTACTTAGAATTTTCATTGTCACAGCCATGTTACTAAGAATGATCTCAGTAAAAGTATATCAAATATATATATATATATATATATATATATATATATATATCCTTTTGAAGAAAATTATTTATTCCTAAACATGACAACCTTCCAATGAAAGATCGCCCTTCAACCTACCTCGTAATGATTCCTAAGATTTCGTATTCTCAGAATTTCTTAGCGACCCAAGAGTAAATCTTATAACCCTCGCACCAGTCCAAGAGGTGGCAAGTGGTTGGTGGCGCCATGGTGTATATATCCGTCATCGCGCAAACACAACTTTTAATTAAATCGGGTATCTTCTGGTTGGATATGTTAATCAGTGCTTGAAATAAGAAATTTTAATCATAATCTATTTATCTTTTTTTAACTATAGCGAAAAGATGGTCACTATTACCGACCCGCACCTCAACAAGTCTTCCATCGGCCAGTACCGCAATATCAAGCGCAAGAAAGCAGCATATTCTCTTCAATCACCAGTGGGTTATCAAATATAGTCAACTACTTCGGATGAAAAAGTATATCGACTAGACATAAACCAAGTTCAAAGACTGTATTTGTGTAATTTTTATAAAAACTTGAAGGTAATGCTTGTGAAGTGATGTAGTTAACTGCCTCCCATCAGACACCACAGATAAGGAAAAAATATTTTGTTTCAACCGATGTTGAGTGTCTATTTGTCATGCAAAGTAAAGAACGTATGTGTAATACTTCATGAAAAGAGATGTGAAAATTATATCATAAAATGAGGAAACATACATACAATCACTTTTAGATCAACCAGTTATTAGTATTTCTCTAAGCATGTGATAAATGATATCAAATAACATTTCAAGCAATTAAATAAGAATCATAATTATCGTAATCATGCAACTTATTTTGAGATCGAGAAGCCAAAAATGGTAATGTTTTTAGACGTTTTCATTTTATGTTCTATTTTTTGAAATTTTTTCTAGATTAATGTTTTAGAATCTGTGCGGATCCACGTTCTAAAAAACCTATCAGATATAATTACAAGTTGTGGTCACATATGTCCGTGAATCTGTAAACACAGCCACCTTGCCCATGTCCTAGTTATAGTATTATTTATTTAAATGTTATTTAAATACACAATGACACTTAATTTTTTCATTTGGATGTGAAAGCACAGGTCCATACCTCTTCACGTATAAAATTCCTCAATGCATGAATATGAAACACTACCATAAACATGAATTTAGTATCAATGTTATAGTTAAAACTCGTTCTTAGTAACAACGCGTTTTCATTAGTTTTTACTAAATGCCTTTCTTACAGCTAATATTAACCGCTGCTTAAAAATAAATATTAGTGGAAACTATTTCTAACCAGAGAAAAAGCGTTTTGTCAAATTAATTCCGTTAAAACTGTTTCAGCCGAGGTAAACAAAGTCTTTGTTGCTTTTATTAAGCTGTTTTTGATGTTTCTTTGATTACTTTAATTACTTAAAATTAATATTGTCGCTATAGTATTAATAATAATAATGTTTGTTGTTGTATTTTGATATTCATTAATATTCCTAATGAATAATATTTAAGAATTACTAATTCATATTTTAATAAACAATACCAATATTTCCAATCCCAAGAAGTTTCTCAAATAATAGTTTTAAGATTTAATTTTTTTTCTAAAATTCAACTACATATAAGCATCAAATTCTAGTTATAAGTAGGAAATTCAAGTTATTGTTAAAAGACTGGTTTTAAATAGAGAAAATACATTGTAAAAACGGGTTTTCACTGTATCATTGACAATAAGACCACCTTTCGCTACAAGATGTCGAAAAAACATGAGATTTTGTAATCTCCAAGCAAAAATGAAATAACCTGATAATAAAAATGGTTTGAATAAAATGTTCGTTGAATAATTCAGCTGGATCTAAGTTATTTAGCAAGGTTTGCATGCAGTAAGAAAACTTATCAAAAAGAATATTTATGTATAGTTGATAGAATATAGCAATAATAGTTTACACAGATTGTTATTAATGTGTGTTAATAAAAAATGAATATAATAATTTAAATTGTTTCATTACGAACATCAAAAATATTTTGCTGAATTGTAGATAACGCAAAAGCAGGACATCTTCAAAATATATTAGCACGAACGATTCCTATACTACTCAAGAATATACAGGGTATTTCACAACTTATCCGACAAATTTGAACCACATATGCACTGTTACAAAAGAAGTTGATTTCCCAAAAAAAATGTAATAAAAGTCCTACAGAGATTGAGTTATAAACCTGAGTTTCAACAATAAATTGAAAAATAAATATCTGCATTTTTCGTTCATCGTCGTGATATTAGAGCACGTATTAATAATTTACTGTAGCAAATGTTGTACCAAAAACAACTGACGAAAACAAAATACCAGGAATTTTTAGTTTTTTCATACTGATAAGAATGAGTAAATAAAGTTTAATCTGTATCCTTGGTGATCTGTATGAAGAACGGTTGATTTTTGTGAAGTTAAATAAGAAAGTATTTTGCGAGTTTTTGTTTTTAGTTATTTATTAATAAAAATGGCACATGTGTACACTAATGAGGAGTCAGTGTACATTGTTTTAGCGTACGGAGAAGCAGGGCAAAATTCGGGAAAGGCTTCTCGTTTGTATGCACACCGATTTCCGAATAGGCACATACCACATGACGAAACATTTAGTTCGATTGTTTTACGTGCACGTGGTTTTGCGCCCCAGACGTGGAGTGGATGGGGGTCGGGTTCGCCCAGAACGTGTTTTAAATGCCGCAGACGAAATTTTGGATATTGTGGAAGAAAATCCGGAAATAAGCACAAGGCAGTTAGCCCAACAGATCCCAGAAGTGTCACATGCAACAGCGTGGTGCATATTACATGAGGCCCAACTGTATACCCTTATCACGTCCAGAGAGTCCAGGTGTTGCTACCTACAGACTACCCCCTAAGACTAAGATTTTGTGAGTGGTTGTTGCAAGAAAATGCTCGAAATGCTCGTTTTACAGCTGATATTTTGGCTACCGATGAAGCTATTTTTACTCGTAATGGGATAACCAATCTTCATAATACACACGTTTGGTCCTTTGAGAATTCTCACGCAGTAGTCCAGACACACTCCCAACATCGTTTTTCTTTAAACGTGTGGACAGGTATTGTTGATGAAAGTCTAATTGGACCGTTCATATTGTCAGATCGGATGGATGGTCAACAGTATTTGGAATTTCTTCGGAATGATTTTCCGGTCCTTCTTGAAGATGTGCCATTGGCGGTCCGTGCACGGATGTGCTTTCTGCACGATGGGGCACCTCCGCATTTTCGTTTAGAAGTTTGTGATCTTGTGAATCAGGTATACCAGATACGCTGGATCGGAAGGGGTGGACCAATTGCATGGCCTCCACGGTCTTCTGGACTTCTTTTTATGGGGATACATACTTGAAAAACGAGGTATACCGTACTCCAGTTCAGAATATTGAAGAATTGCGTGACCGAATCACTGTGGCTGCCGAGAATTTAAGCCTTCAGTTACAGCAGGAGGTGTATTAGAATTAGTGCGCCGAAATTGGATTAGACACGCCCAAGCTTGCATTGCAGTCAATGGAAACAATTTTGAACAGCTTTTATAAGTAAGTGAACTGCTAAGCTGTATTATTTTATTATATTATGCCGTTTTTGTTTTTTTTATTTTTTTGAGAAATCAACTTCTTTCGTAACAGTGCGTGAAACACCGTGTATAGGTAGTGTAAATGACAACGTTTATTTGATGCTAACCGTCTAGCGCAGACTCGGCGTGTAACCCGACTAGGGATCGACCGATACCGATCTCAATATCGTCCTAATTTGCAGATAACTGAATCGGCCTGTATAGGCTGACTGGTACATATTTCAAAGTTAATGTCTTTCTTAACTTGGTATTGAGTTGAGCATATACCGCAATACATGGAAATATAATAATAATTATTATTTCAGATATCTCTTTTGAGTTAGATATTTTACATACATACACACACGAATTGCCTAAATATTTAGATCGAGCTATTTACCGCATTTATATTTTCGTACAGTATCAAACTTGATGAAACCAAAACAGATCATGTAAGGTGCCATGCACATTGGAGAAACCGATGTCATGAAACGTAAAAGTGCAGTTGCTTGCGACAGGTGGATAAGATAACTCGGAACAATGAGCACTGCATTTTATGAACTCCTATTTGGAAAAACCGTTTTACGAAACTTGGTAAAATGGTTTTCTGCAACTCCACATCTCGTACGTCATTTCGAATTTCAATTCAATTTGATGGAATTGAAGAATTCTAAAATTTGATAGGATAAGGCTGACGTCATGAGTGCAGTGTTGCCGATCTCTGATCAATGGGTGGACCCAAAACTTTTGTCATCATCAATATCCGTATCTCCGACATGATTGGTGGAAAAGAGTTTTCTATGTACGCATGTCCAAATGCACCTTGTTTCATGAACTCAGTTATCCAGAATGGGTTTCTCCGTATGACTACTTATTCAAACCGCATGTACACTGCGTCAAACGCGGTTGTACGTTTGTCCAATTCTTACGCCCCTAATGGTTTATTCTTATTGAAGAATGATACTCAATTATATACGAAAAGAGACGATAACACTGATATATTGGCCTTGTGATATATATGTATGGGTTGATTATCGATATCGGCAAAAATCTTATATCGGTGGATATCTATATTCCACCCTTCTTTACATGTTTTACGATTGTCATTTATCCTCACAACGATGCTTGGGTTGTATATTAATCGTAATAACATTATGCATAGTATAAAATTAATAAATATAAAATAAAATACTATTCAGGTGGTTTTATTTCCTTCACTTGTTGGAAAGCAGCTATTAGCGCCGTCAGTTGAATATTCTCATCAGCTCCTGCGCATAATCTCAGCTCAATGTCAGCTATTTTCTCAGAGAGATCGATCAGCACATCGAATGGAAACTCAGCTATAAAAAAAAATACAAGAATACTGCCATTTTGAATCGAATGTGCACTATAACTTACCCCTATGAACATAATCATGAATTTCCGTGAGGATATCATTCAGAGCCAGACCTTTGAGCATCTTCAGTTCCTTTATATCTAAGATCAAAGTCACGGAAGATAATTTTAAAATTGACTAGTAAAAACATAAAGTATACAGTTTACAAAGAGGTACAGCATTGAAGGATACGTTTATACGTAGTTTCAAAATCAGAATTCAAAAGCCACTTGAATATATTTTCGATATCTTTCCTTAATGGATGACCCACACAAGTGTAGACATTATCTTCGTTTACATACTTATAGGCTAACCACGTACTCTGTAAGACATTTAATACTTTTCTCATATCACCATTAGCTAAAGTTAACAGCGCCTTTTTGCCATCTTCCGTAATTTTCACTCTGAAAAATTAGCAGTCATTTAATTTCCAAGAAGACGTTGGCATGAAAATGTAAACTCATCCAATCTCCGAATTCAGAAGTGCAAGGTGATAACTCTTTGTTGTGCATAGTTAAACAGGAAATTTTGCAGCTTTCGTGCAAACTTAAGGCGGAGTGCACAACTCGCGAAAAGTGCGATTCAAAACTTTATGAAACAGAAGTTGTCGTAAGACGTGTTTAGAATTTAAAGAGAAATGTCAGTTTTCAATTCAAATTTTCCTAACCTTACATACCTTATGGACTCCGCTTTAACAACTTTTTCTAATGTTACGACGAAAGCAACGCCAAGTTTTTAAAGGAGTTTCTTGTTTTTGAGCAAATTAAATTTTGCGAGTCCAATGTTACAGGAATTCTTTATGAGCAAATTCACAGTATATTATAAGCAAACATTTTTGGAATTTCATGGTTTAAAAGAGTAATATTTAGTAAATCAATCATTAAGTCAATACGACATTTGTGCGTACTCTGAAATCTTTTGTAACTCTATTTACTATGCACTATACAAGAATGAAAGTACCATTATATCAGATTCAACATACCCTTCCTTCTCCACGACATATTCCAAGCGTGGCATAATCTGTTCCGGAGATAGAGGACCAAACCTGAATCGCGTGCAACGAGATTGTAAGGCTGGGATTATCTTACTCATATAGTTGCAAATTATACAAAACCTAATGTTTTCTGTGTATTTTTCGATAACTGAAAAAAAAAGATCATATATTATGTTACAAAAATATATTGCAGATGATTCGTTACTATTAATGTATGTAAAGCCTTCAACCGCCACAAAAACGGTATTTGGCCATCACCATAAAGCGTATCGTAATCAAGAGGATGGCCCACTGTAAAATCAAATCGAACAGCCAATAAGACACTGATACTAAATCTACTACTCTGGAGAAGTGCTAATTAAATAACAACGATTGTAAAAACCTATAGTGAACGCCTAAAAGTGAGCTGACTATACTCTTACGCAATGGGAGTTTGTTCCGAAATAATTCATAATGACATTTTTCCTGTCAATAGAACAATGTTCGCCAGTCAACGAACCTTCGATATTTTATTGTAGATGTATTCAATTATCATCGTTTTTATATGAAAATCTGTAAAACCTTCTCTCGAAAACCTTAAAAAATACCCCGGCACTGCAGACACAAGTTTTGCAGGATTAGTCAAACCCCGTTCTCACTGGACTTAGCATAAAAATATTTGCCTTGTTCAGGTTTTACTAACTATCCTAGAACCGTTTTCATTCTTAGCAATAGAATCTCATTGTTGCAGAACCGCTTTGTAATTGATTATTGTCAGAATCAGAACGGTTCTAGGATATATCGCTGTGCAATTCGAACAAGACGATTAATTCATCATACAAACTTTATTCGCATTAGCTTATATTGACAATTAACAAATAAAAACAATATTATAGTATAAATCAGAAGAAACCCAGATTAATGAAAAATGATTGTCTTATATTGTATGAACTCCAACGATATTACTGGATACTGCAAATGGAGTTTCCACTTGTAGACATCATGGAAGTTGATCGCGCTGGTGTATTCCTGGGTGGAGATGCAGGAATAATCTCAGCTGTGACGATTGGAGCTCGTCTTTCCCTTTCTGATCTACTCAAGGCAATACCAAAATACTTGGCGATGATATCAGTCAGGTAAGTATTCACCTGAAAACCAAAATGGTTGAAAGATGTTGTTTCTTAGTGATCGTATTTTCAATATGAAATCAATACGCTTTGAGTACATATCATATATATGAAATATGACTGCCTCTACTATCCACTTATTAAGTATTCACTTTCGTCAATAGTCGCGTTCATTAAAAGAAAACGCTACGGAAGTGACCACTTATTGTACAGAGTGGCCGATATGTAACTAACTGGTTTGTATCTTGAATATTTATGAAATGAAATAAAATAAGTCCATTTTTTTCATCTTAATCTGTTATTGAAACTTAGAAAGTATGTATGAAAAATAATATCAGACAAATGTCCGCCTCTAGAAGCCGCGCAAACCTGAGCCCTATTGATTACATTTCCCATCACCTTTTGGTAGGCTTCGGGAGGAATATTTTCAATCGCTTCCGTAATATTGGTCTTCAGCTGCTCTACAGTATTTGGTTTGTTGGCATAAACCCTATTTTTCTAAAATTCCCATAAGAAACATCAGGAGCCGTTAAATCCGGTGACCTTGGTGGCCAGTTGACATCCCCAAGTCGAGAAATTAAACGTGCCGGAAATACTGTTCGCAAAAGATTCATTGTTTCCCTAGCTGTGTGACAAGTTGCTCCGTCCTGCTGGAACCACGTTTTGTAGAATATATTGTTGGATTTGAGTAGCCAAAAAGCAGCATACCACGGTAGCGCTCGCCAGTAACAGTAAGAGAATTACCTGCAGCGTCTTCAAAGAAGTAAGGTCCAATGACACCTCCATACCAAACACCGCACCAAACTGTGACTTGACGAGGGTGTAGTAGTCGTTTATTAAGAAATCCGTTCGTATCGAAGAGGGTTTATCGCTCATCATCAGATGTCAGTAAAAATCGATATTTTAGGTATTAAGCTGCAATATTGCACGACTGTATTGTCGGCGACTTTCATGGTCACTAGGCTGTAGTTCTTGGGTTAACTGAATTTTGTATGGCCGCAAATGCAAGTCTTTTTTTAAAATAGTACATAATGACATGCGACGAATACCCAGTTCTTACGAACGATGTCTGGTAGACGTCTCAGGGCGCTCCACTACACTTTCACGAATTCTCGATATTTTCCTAACACGGCCCGATCTTGGCAAGTCTTCAACATCACCTGTTTATTCAAATTCCCGCACCAACTGACGAATGGTGGTGACACTGGGCACATTTTTTCGACCGAAATCTTGTCGTAGCTTCCGAGTCGTTGCAACTATCGATTTATTATCTAAGTAAAACGTTTTAACCTACAGTCAGTTATACATTGGCCATCTAGTATTTGCACGTTCGTGAAGTTACCAGGACCCCAAAAAATACACTTCTTCGAACGTGTGAACGCAGTTAATTGTTAATTCAGAAGCGGTACAGAGCATTTCGCCTTTAAAACCCGAACAAAACCAGAAGCTGTTGTCATGACGTATGTGGCATGTAGCCACATATCAGACCGAGTTTACTGAATTCAATAGTAGCAGATATTCAGAAACTTACGCCATGTGTAATAGGATTTAAAATCATCAAAAATCGTCTGATGAGATCGCGTGCTTTCGATTTGATGTCTCTCATTTCATGTTTTTATGATGACAAAGTTCGACGGGTCGAACTCGAGCGACGTCATGGCGCTTTCTAAACGTGTAGCTTCGATGGCGAGGTGTTTTCCAGTGCCTCGCTTGTGTTACTCAGAGCTACCCACCACCTGTCGATACCGTTCCACTGCACCTGAGCTACTCATATTTGAAAATAGTGGGGATAATGAAAATGACGAGGCGTCAAAATTGTCGGGTTATGTATTTTCATCATTTTTGTTTTTTTTTGCATTAAACTCACATTAAACCGATACCAGACAATAGAGGATGGTAAAAAAAACTGATAATGTTATGGCCCAGAACCACAACGTACATTTGAGATGTTCCTGAATAATAGAGATCACAATATAGTGCAAGAATATAGATTCATAGCGGCTTGTAGTTGGCTTCATCTATAACTAGACACTACACTACACGAAAGTATGAATTCGACACATTTATCCAGAAGCTTTACAATAAAAATGCAGATCAACAACATCAACATCAACAAACAGGTGGTTTTTATTGTCGCGTTCCCATGCGCATTACGCATCTGCTAGAGTAGTTCGGGACCGTCACACACCGGGTGCATACAACTCTCAATTCAAAAGCACTGGAAATCGGCTAAGAATACGGGTGTTGGGTATTATATACACAGGCTGTCTCAGGGGCAAGCGTTCAAAAATTGTTCTAATCAAACTAACCATTTGATATGATTGTGAAGCTCTTAATAGTTTTTTATTTCCAGAAAAATCGCGTGGTGTTATTATCGTTTTCTACATCCCCTGTATTCAAATGTTTTGTAATTTTTGAGGCTTTAATCAATTGGGACCTTTGAACAGCTCTGTATTCAGTTATAATAATACTAACATTTTCTCCAGTTCTTGCGGACATCAAGAAGGTATGCAAACCGTATTCCTCTACAAATTTCTTGGTTTTATCTAATCTCACGGCCCGTTTATGTTCCAGATCACCTGTAACAGGTACAGTGTAGTCAAACTATATATGAAACAATCCAATAAAGTAATGAATGTAAACACATTACATTTGTTGGCAAACACTGCTACCAAAGGATCTGCGACATCTTTTCTTATCTTATCGAGCCATACGACCATGTTCTCGAAACTATCGCAGTCTGTTATGTCATAGACAAGAATTATCACCTGAAAACACTGACTATAACACTCGTATTGTATAAAAAGTCTTTAAGCACTATACGTTGGCGTTGAAGAGATAATTCTTTAGCATATGTCCTTTCATCTCCATTCCGCCAACGTCAGAGATTCGAACAGTAATTTCTTTTTTCTCTGGCAGCTCTACCCTCTTTATATAAAATTCCGCGCCGATAGTTTGGCTGTAGTGTCTTGTGAACTCATCGTAACAAAATCTTCTGATGATGCATGTCTGGAACCGTCAAGAAAATAGGGACTTAGACATTTTTAGTAAAATGTAAATAACGTCACTAAAAATTCTATATTGCAAAATTATAATAATAACAAATGAGCGCCATTGCTGATGCTTTGTCCCTTATCGATCGGATTTAATTTCAGAAAATACAAATTTCATCTTCTGAACTTATTTTCGGACATGATTGTTTAAAAAAAAATTCTCTCAGGGAATAAAAGAGCTTCTATGTTTCTTAATACATAAATACTACTCTCGTAAATTCAAAGAATTTAAAATTACGTGACAGCCCTTGTATAAGCTTTATTGAAGCGCTAAGGCAGCTTTAACTTTATACTTACCTTGCCTACGTTAGGCTCTCCCAGAAATACCAATTTCAGTTGCCTTTCTTTGATTTCGTCCTCAGAGTCAGACATAATTTTTCAATTATCATATTACTTCAAATGCAAAAAAGGATTTCCATCTGAAAGGAATAAAACTTCAGAATGCCCATATATTCGCTTGCGAAGGCAAACATTAAAGAAACCAAGTACACGTGATACATATTCAACGACTTATTGTGGAAAATTCGATACACATTTAAGCCTACTATATAAAAGGGGGATGCGTACGAGTCCCTCCAGTTCTGCTGCAGAGTTGCGGAGAAAAATGTATCAAGTTTATTTGCTATCATGCATATTTCTTACAATATTTGGCGTTTGTGTCAACGGGTGCTTGATAACCAATTGTCCTAGGGGAGGAAAAAGAAGTGGAAAGATTCCTCTTATTGAAAGAAATATCAAGCCGGTGAGTATAAGGATATTTTTACTCTCAAAGCCACTACAAGTATCGTGAGTACCGCATCAGTCGACAGAAAATCGTCTACCTAAAAAGTCAAACCGCAACACCAATAGAACAACACAATAGGAAATTCGCTCTATCGACAATAGAATTAGCGATACGGTGACAAACAAACTACCCACTACCCACATTCAAATGTTCAATCAACTATACTGCGATTTTTCGCCTGCTCAACTTCATCTAAACGGAAAAATGAAAGCTTACATGTTACATCGATTCATTTCGTTTCAATCAGTTTCTGATTTCTTTTCTTCATCATGCCTGTTGCATAATACCCTCGACAGATCTTGAACTGACCGATCTACGGTATAAGAATTTGAACCCTATTCAAGTAGGTATTCACGTTCTCAAAGACACAATGTTTTCAAAACGATAACCGAGTATGAAGTCATTTGCACTGCTTTTGTTGTGCCAGAGACTAGTGCAATAATTTAGTGTACAAAAAGGGGATTTAATTTAAAAAATGGATATCCTTATAATTTCCGAATCTTACTTTGTTACCTTGTGCTGTTCCGCTCGAGCCTCCATGTTATAAAAATGGTGCTGAAGAAGAGTATGTTTGTCAACATCTAGGCCAGGGTATCAATTTTCGAAAGCTTTGGTATAGTAGTAACATTGTGTAAAAATTTCATCGAAATCCGAGTGGTACTTCTCAAGTTATAGGCGGTTATAAGATTAGCGGACAGACCGACTGACAGACAGAGCGACGGAAATTAGTAGCATGATTTTTCGTGATGTACATGTCACATAACATCCAAAAAACATATCTCATTTTCGAAAATCTTCGCAATTACACGCCAGTAGGCGCAGAAAGTAAAAAAAATATTAGTTGTAGAAATTTCTGTCTACTATGTGATTTGCCATATAAGTTTTTTGGAGTAACTTCGCCTAGATATGCGTAGTTCTCTCAGCTATTCAAACATAAAGAAATAAAAAATATCCTTCCAGTGTATATCATGCGGTCCAGGACAAATAGGTCAATGTTTCGGACCAAACATCTGCTGTGGCCCATTCGGTTGCCTGATGGGTACATCAGAAGCATTGGTATGTCAGCAAGGGCTGTTCCACGAGAGAATACCATGCACTGCTGGGAGCGGATCTTGCAGAAAAGGAACTGGACGATGTGCTATAGATAATATATGTTGTAGCCAAGGTAACAACTCGATAGATGAGTTCAATCACAATGGAGAAGATACTCTTTTTAACTCTAGCTATCAGTTTATTCATCTTGGTGCGGATTTTCGTATAAAGGATATGGCACACTCTTTATAGCAAATTAGCTGAAATGTGTATGTTGTTCTCCATACTTGACTGATCAAAAGTCTCCAATGCACTATGGTCGTAATATCAACGGTTTCCGGGTTACAGGGTGTTCAAGCTTTGTAAATTCGAAAAAGTTGAGCAAAAATCTAAGATGGGGTGCGCAAATGTAGCAAATTCGAAGAAACTATTTTACGAAAAATGCCGGCGCAACCGTATGGTCACTTTAGAAGTTAAGTAGAAAAGTAATAAATAGCTAGTTTATTACTGCTTTCATCCATCTACCGGATGTTCGCCTTTTTTTGGTCGCGTTTTGTATTGTCTTAAGAAAGGTTTAAAGTTGTTACCTGTTAAATTAGCTGAAATTGTAGCATGTTGGCGGCTGTATTCTTCTGAGCAAAGGCCTTCTAGTTTTAACAAATTGTAACTTATAGGGTGTACAAATATATTAAATTGACGGACAAATATGACTTCAAGGGACACCTCCACAGCATCATGGATTCTTGCCTGCCGATTTTAAATGCGAAAAGAGCCTATCCACTGAATGCTCGCCATTGTTTTACTACGTTTTTTAGTTTTTCATGCCAAATTCCATAATAAGTCAACCTATATTTGATACTGAGAATATCACAAATGTAGCCTAACTGGATCCTGTTTCCTAACATCAGTAATTTTGGACATTTCTGGAGTGCTTTACCGAATCAGTATTACATACAGTATCTATAGATGTACTTAGATGTTCATTTTCCATCCATTTTAGAGATTAGCTCATCAGACTTATCGATCGAAACTGAATTTACTGGCGTCTGGCGTTACATCTTTTCGGGATTGGAATAAAAATCGATTTTATCACTCTTTCGACGGTCCTGCTTCATATATTTAATTTAAGAGCCGAACTATATTATTCTCAGAATAAGTTTTTGCATTGGTGGAGATCGTTTAACCCTAATGTTTTGCCCATTTTAATTCCTTTAAGGTCATTTTTAGTTCCGCTTTTTATATTGGTTGGACTATATATATATAACAAAAAATGGGAAAATAATAGGCAAAATCCGAAAAAGAAGGAAAGTGGATTCGAGCAGAAAATAGGATAGGTAACCCAAGCGATACGTATTTCTGCTGGTTGGCTTCTTCAGGCCCGAAATGAATGCACATATGCAACTACAAAAGTAGATACACATGCTCATACATCCGGATACGGGTGTAACCTGAGGAAACAAAGATGGAGAGGGAAAAAATCACACAAAAAGTCCACAACAAGAGCCAACCTACACATTGTAATATAAAATGGCTAGAAGACCTCGAATTTTCAAGGCGACATCTAACCACAACCACAACCTCGCAATTTGCCATTAAGAGAGTGCTATACCTATTAATTTTTGTTAGAATGCGCCTTTTCACACTTCGACAATAAGCAGTATAATTCCTGTCTTTCTCTCCACAATAATTAAAACCGTGATAACTATACTGACATTTATTAATAATTCGGAGTACGGAAGAGTTAAATAATTGTGATTCAATCATATTCAGTACTGTTTGACATTTCGTCCTACAAATTGCTCAAATGGTTTACAAAAAATCAGCGGTTGACGAGGAAAATATTTCGTGCACTGAGAACAACATACGGTCCACATATTTTGCCTACCGATGACACACTAATTGCTGAAATTCAAGCTCCGTGGTCTTCAGACCAATCAGTTTCACCAAGACGGCGCTACCACATAAGTTGGACACTTCGTCCATGAAATCCTGGATTATACTGTAGCATAAATAATTCCAAATCAAATGTTGCTACCTATGAAAATCACCAGGAATCTATTAAAATTTACTGACTCGGCTCACTCACATGGACCGTTATTTAAAATGGATATACATATAAGAAAACTTGCGTGTTCATATGTCATTTCGTTCACGTTGGCAAGATTGCAAACCAATCTGTAAGTTAGCCTAACCGTATATGGGGGATCTTCGTGAAAAAAAAACATATATGTATGTTGCTGAAAAAACCTCACATACCCACCCGCGAAAAACATAACCCTCCTTCTAGGACAGTCGGGTAAAAACAATTTCAGCTGTTTTTCAGTAACGATTCACTCTGCTGCTACAATATTATGCACTAACTACTCGCTGTTGAAATATCCCACCACTTCATTCACCAGCATCATAACAAAATATTAATTGTGTTACCTTTCACTAGAGATGTTGAAAGGAGCCTCACACTTGGAACATAACTCAAAACACAAGCTCTAGATAGCGAATTTTCATAAGATAAGCTTGCCACTTGTTTTCTATAAAAATGAGTTACTTGACTATCTGAATTGTTTTCAGATGCTTGTCACATAGACAAAGAATGCGGCCCTGAAGAAAGGCTCAAACCTTTTCCAGATACACCAGCTGGTCTAGATTTATACAACCTAATCAACTACCCTTCAGAAACGTTCAGCGACAAGTAGGCCTGAAGCTTGCATCTAACATGTCATCACGTGTACTTAGTTTTTTAATAAAGCAAATAGACATTTAATTGCAGTGTAAATGCGACCATCACTTACCTGTTGTATCATAAAACACTCTTGTACGAATCGCGTCAAATAATGGAAACTATCCATAATTCATTTGTGCGAGTATAAGGCGGTCGCTATGGGAAAGATGATACAAACATAACATGATTCCTTATAATAGTGCGAATTTGAATTTTTGCGAGATGCTTTAAGATTTATTGACGTGCACGTTCAGACAGGTTGGCATAAAGTGGATTATTTTATTCCTCACGCACTAGTTTGTAATCACGAATGATTACTTCTTTTGGCAATGCCTCAGATTTTTATTATTGTATATATTGTTCATGGAACAGCTCTAGAATTCTCAATGGGGTTATGCGATGCAGCCATAGTTCTGTAGCAGAAGTTCAAAAAAATGGCGTCAAGCAGGTTGGCTCTGCACTTCCCATGCAATGCTGTCATCAGTGTGTGAAGGAATATATCCAGCACAAGTTAGACCCCCTTGTCATTCAAACAGTCCTATTCAATTAATCCAAACACATCGTTTCCCTGCCCTGCCGATAGTATCATCCATCTGGAAACATAACCTCCCTATACCTGACCGAACGCGTCAGCAGCGGCTCAGCGCCATAGCGGTAGTAATACAAGGACACTGTAACAAGACTAGCACGTCTGCTGGTAAACGCAGAGAGCAGAAGCAGGGGCAAGTATCGAAATCATTTCTTGATCAAGTTTTAAGAGCAACTGCACAGGGAAATGTATGATGTGTGAAATATGCCTAATAGGTGCGTAGAATTACCCAGGTTGGGAGACTAACATCAAAAAATTAAATTAGATATACCCTCCCCTCCGCCTACAACTGCCTCACAAACATCTAAAAACAAAGATTGAGGATTTCTGTTTTTTTTTTCGTTTTTTTAGTAGTAAAAACACAACTGTTCTTCAGTATTCTTACTTATTCAGTCAAAATTCTAACAAGTCCATCAGTACTATAACAAAGTGATAAGGCAAAAATCAGTATGTTAAAAAACCACATACTGCTGCTACAGATCATTCACTGCATTCCACTGAGACTTCTAGAACCCATCTGTCAGAGCTCATACAATTAAGACATATGCCTGTGGTGTGTTTTAAAATACTAATACAACACAGGAGTTGCTGTCCCTTCACATCATTACATGACTATTAAAAGTGAAAAAAGCTCTGAATACCAATAATCTATACCAATTTTTGTATGAAATTTTGCTTTAATTGGGATTGATCTAATCACCAATCAATTCTAATTTGACACCTTTAAATGGTGAAATCATTCAACAGTCTGACAAGCTGTTAAAATGGTGGAAATATGAATATGTTTAATTACTGGCACTAATAGTACTAATTAGATCTTGTAGTCATAGTAATTCTAATTTCAAAATATAAACATGCATAAAAGCTCAAAAACTCACTCCTACGAAGAGCATTTTGTGCATCCATCGTCATTGCATCAGCTTCATCTAGAATAATTATTTTGAATCCTGATTTAAAAATTGTACGGGTACTGGCAAATGTTAAGATTTGGCCTCTCACTATTCCAATGCCTCTGTCATCAGATGCATTAAGTTCAAGCACCTAAAAATCCACATGTGGAGTTTACAAGTGACATGAGATATTTAAGCTAAACATGTATACAGGGTGTTCCTTTTTGATATGCGAATATTTAAGGGTGTGACTCTACATGAAAAATTAATGCTAGTTTGCTTTATGAACTGTGGCCCAAAAATGTTTCCGTACAAAAACTCGGGGTGTTGAAGTTTTAGGAAAAAAAATGGAAATTAATTAATATTTTCAGAACCGCTTCAGATACTTCACTGATATTCAGTACGTAGTGAAACTTAATAAAGTTGCATATTTTTCAATGCAAAAATAATTTTTAGCTTTAACAGTGGCGTGCGTACGGGTACTGACCTCGATATTTTTCAAGAAAAAAATGGTAAGCTAACGGTTATTTGCCAAATAATTTTTTTTTTTTATTTATTTATTCTTGAATTGTTTTCCTTCGATGCGCCATTTCTAAGTAAAAAAATAAAAACCGTTCTATTGTCCCAGAAAATTAATGTAATAAATGAAGAATGCAATTTAGCAACAAATGCCTAGTTGTTCTGGAATATGTCACTGGCTTTTGACATCTGACAAGTCTCTGTTATTCAAATCTGTTCGCTGTGACAACTTTTTTATTATTTAGTTTTTACAATCTTGATAATAATGGTGAATTATTCAAATGCAGAAATGGCGGAAATGCATTACGTATATGGCCTTGCCAACGGTAATGGTGAGCAAGCCAGACGGATTTATCACCAGAGATATCCCGATCGTGCTTTGCCAGATAATCGAACCTTTTCTAATATTCATCGTTGTCTTGTTGAAACTGGATCTGTCCGTAAAGAAACATCTGAAGGTAGGCCTCTGAGTGTAAGAACACCTGAAATTGACGAATCAGTGCTGCACGAAGTCGAAGAACATCCTGAAACGAGTACGAGGAAGATCGTTAGACACTTAAACATTTGCCATCAAATTGTTTGGAGAATTTTAGTGGATTTTTTGTTATATCCTTACCATATTTTAACAGTACAGGCATTACTTCCCATTGATTTTCCAAGGCGTGTGACCTTTTGTTAGTGGTATCTTCAAAAAATTTGACAAAATCCGCAATTTGAATCAATGATTCTGTTCACGGACGAAGCTAATTTTCCTCGAAATGTCATTCTAAATTTCCACAATAATCATTTGTGGACAGAAGAAAATCCCTTTGCCGTAACCGAAACCAATTTCCAACACCAATTTTCGGCTAACGTATGGGCAGGATTTATTCGCAACCACTTTACTGGCCCATTCTTCTTGCCGGGACGACTTGACGGGTAGGCTTACCTCAATTTTCTTTCTGCCTTTGCTGCTTAATGATGTTCCGGTAGAAATAAGTAAACAATACATGGTACATGCATGATGGTGCACCAGCGCATTTCAGTGTAACGGTTCGTAATTATTTACAAACTGTTTATCCAAATCGTTGGATTGGCCGCGGTGGGCCCCAAGAATGACCACCAAGGTCCCCAGACCTCAACAGTTCAGATTTCTTAAGACGCTAGTGTACACAAGTCCAATTAACACTATAGAGAAATTAAGAGAAAGAATACTTGCAGCTTGTGATAGAACAAAAAACACCCCAGGGATATTTCAACGAGTGCTCAATTCCATGAGGAGGGCGGAAGCATGCATACTAAGTGAAGTGAGCCATTTTCAACAATTTTTGTAATCATTTCGTTGGTTTTAATGTCATGTTTATGTTGTCAGTTGTTGTTTTTAATTACCCCTAATGTGTTTAATTTTTTCAATTAAGTTAATCATCATTTTGCAAGTTAGACAATAGAACGGTTTTTTTTTTTACTCAAAAATTGCGCATCGAAGGAAAACAATTCAAGAGAGATCATTTGTTTTAAATTGAACGGGGAATTCAAAAATAATTTTTATTTGGCAAAAAACCATTGGCATACCATTTTTCTCTTGAAAAATATCGAAGTCAATACCCGTACGCACGCCACTGTTAAAGCTAAAAATTATTTTTGCATTGAAAAATATGCAACTTTATTAACTTTCACTACATACTAAATATCAGTGAAATATCTGAAGCGGTTTGAAAATATTAATTAATTTCCATTTTTTTTCCTAAAACTTCAACACCCCGAGTTTTTGTAAGGAAACATTTTTTGACCATAGTTTATAAAGCAAGCTAACTTTAATTTTTCATGTAGATTCACACCCTTAAATATTCGCATATCAGTAGATAGACTGGGATATAGTATAGTAGACATTTCTCAACAAAAGTACATTAGCTGAGAGCTGAAGAGCTGTGGCTCAGGTAGCAATCTACATGTTAAGAAGTTACTATATCCTATTTCACAACTATCCATCATGCTTTGACGTCTACTGAGGTGAACAGCTGATCAGCAAGTGTCATTTTAATGTTAAAGTTAGTCTGCAGCGTTGACAAAAATGAATCGGATATCGAGGAATTTTGAGAAATTACTAGATAATCGACTATCATTCTACTATGATGGATACTCCTAAAATAGGGTATACTTGAATCTCCATATTTTATTGTGCTGATCTTTAAATTCGTTTCAACTAACTTTTACCGAGTTTAATTGACAATGCAGCAAATGCTCCAATGATTGTCACCTTCACAAATAACATAGGTAGCCAAATGCTTATCTGGTGCATAGCCACACATAGAATAAACAAGCACATAGCATTATATGCACAGAACTATGGTGTGCTATGGCTATCCAAGCACTAAAGCTACCTATGTGTAGTGTGTAAACATGACCAGTAATGCCCATTCAAGAAGTTGTCAAAGCTAAAATGCTGCCCCATGAGAAAGCTTTCCCAGGATTTAGAAATTGAGTCCCTGATGCAATCAGATCCTGAGAGCTAATGTTTTTTTCTTTTTTTTATACTCCAACTACCACAAAGGTCTAAGTTGTAAACACCCATTGGGTACCATGGGGCTATGGGGGATACAGGGGAAAGAGGGAACGCCACATGGACTCTAGCACCTACAGACAATAACATGAAAAATTTCTCTTGGAACGGGATTCGAACCCGCACAGCTCACGGTGACTGATCAGGAGACTGAACAGTCTGCTTCTGCGGCAACCACTGCTGCCAGGCTGTTGATATACCTATAACATAGATACTATGAAATTCTACTTGATGGTACTAGAATAATTACCATGGATGAAAACTGTGCAGGGGTGTAAAGTTGTCTGGCACAAGCTAAAATTGTACTTGTCTTTCCTGTTCCTGGTGGGCCATAGAATAATAAATGTGGGAACTGATCTTCCTTGATAAATCTGTTTACTAGAATATATGAAAAATTTCATAAGAAGCTTACAAGGTAGCTAAGCTCAATGTGATATGATCAGTATTTACTGATGATTCTGTCAGTGTTCCATGATAAATACTAACAGTTCATGCTAAATACTGATCATGTGCCGTTCGCCTTAAGAAAATAACTTACTAGTCTTAATAATGTCCTCATGAGACACAAGTTCATCTAGTTTGCTAGGTCTATACTTTTCAACCCTGGAAATTATATTTAATAATTAAACGGGTACAAAATCTATTTTATTAAATGTTACCAAGGAAGATTTACACGTTGTTCGTCCAGCAGAACCATTATGTCCGTGTGAAGGGGTATAAGTTATATAAAAAGTACAAGAGTTCTAGAAAAGGTTACAAATTAGAGAAAAACAACATCACATCCACAAAAAGTTAAGCGCCAAAATCACAGAATCACAGACACATTTCAAATGACCATAGAAGGCCACGACCCACGACCACAGTCTTTACACCCATATGATTGACACTTGACAGCTTCTTGACATTTGACATAGACTTATTTACATTATCACGTCAAATGATTGTTGTACGTATGTAATTTTCGTATTTTTCTTTGTTGTTAAAGATTATCAGGAGCAAATAACAAGTAACAATAAACAACATAAAACGATAACTTAACCATTATGTTAAATTAATCATAATTTTTGTAAATCAACAACTTTGTAATACAATAGTTGGTCCAAAGAATATGGATTTCCAAGAGGATACTGTTGCAACCCACAGTGATAGTGATGACAGCAGTTATGAGGATGAAGATGAAACTACCAGAATTCTTCCTCCCGAAGGTAGATTATACCAAATACATATTTTCATTCTGTTGACAAATAATGAATATTAAATTGTTAACATCTTTCAGTGGAGGACACAACAGACTGTCTTCGATCGAGGCATATCTTAGGAATACTAGGATTTTTAGGCTTTGCCAATGTATATGCCATGAGGGTGAACTTATCTGTGGCTATTGTTGCTATGGTGAACAGCACATTGCAACCTGTTGATGATAACACAACATTCGACCACTGCCCTATGCCAAATGTTACAGCAAATTCCTCTACACCAGTTGTGAGTTTAAGATACTTAGTAACCATTGTAACACTGCTTTAAAACTATATAAGCTGCATAGTCTACTTTTTATTCAAAGTTCTAACCATCCAGCCAAGCTTAAGTAGTAAACATTAATTGCATGACTCAAATGAGATGTCAAAACTTGAGGGAATTTTTTTGACATTATTTTTAGAATCCTGGAGAGTTTAACTGGGATGAACAAACTCAGGGCATAGTGTTGGGATCATTTTTTTATGGGTATGTCCTAACACAAGTCCCTGGAGGCAGACTAGCAGAAATGTTTGGTGGAAAATTGGTGTATGGAGTAGGAGTATTGATTACTGCAATCTTCACCCTGTTAAGTCCTGTTGCTGCAAGAACTAGTTTTCCATTGTTCATCATTGTGAGAGTGCTGGAAGGCATGGGTGAAGTAAGATCATATTTCTGATTGATAGTTATAATAATAATATCTTTATTCAAGTTTAGCCTATGATACTTTACAATATGAGCAAAAAAGAAACATATAGTAATAATTCAGAAACATAACCAACTAAACTAAAATATGCTACAACCATATACAATATATATACAATACATGCACTATATTATGTATGTATATCTAAACAACCCAGAAAACCAGATTACTTGTACCTACTACCCTGTTATATGTATCAGGCCATAGTGAACAGATATATTTTGTTTTCCCTGTGAAAACTGATTATGGACATTTTCTTATACTTAAAAGGCAGCATTATATGAGGAGCAATGCTTGAATGTGTGTAATAGAGTATTGTGATCATAACATGGTCCCTAGTATTTCTGTCATATACTGTGTAACTAAACATAATCTTTTCTTTCAAGCATGCTGGTTTTGCTATACCTACCTTATTTCACAAGTATCCATCATGGCAGAATGACAGCTGGCTATCTAGTAATATTTCAAAAGTCCCCATATCGAAAAAGGACACATAATTCTGACAGACAGATTCATTTTGTACTTGCTAACAGCTCTTTTATTTAGAAAAATTTATTTGCATACAAAAAACAAAACACCACAAACAAGTTTTACTAGATTTATACCCGATCCATTATTGCTTACGTTGCAGACTAAAACAAAAATGTCACTTGCTGACCAGCTGTTCTCGTCAGTAGAAGTCAAAACTTGATGGATATTCCTGAAATAGGTTATATATTCATAGAATTTCAGATTTAAAACTGAAATATTCAGACAGCTTGGTATGCTTCGAACGAAAATCAAAACATGGCACACTCATTAAGCATTTTTACTTGTGAAGCTTTATGCATTTTCTTTACTATAATGGTATATTTTCCAAAAATTTTGTTTTAACATAATATCAATTCTTCAAAAAGTATATTCAGATTGCAATATTTAAGTAATAAACAAACAAAATTGAACTTTATCAAAAGAAATTCAGCAGAAAGGAATTAGCCAGTTACTTGCTTTATGTCATCCAAATGATGTTACCACCACATTAAAAAATACATAAGGGTGGGATATAGATTAGTTTTGACAAATAAGTCTAAGATGTGATCTATAATTCAAATCCTCAAATTTATCCATCCAGTTAATAAAATATACTAAAATATATTGTCATTGAATTTTAAAAAAGTATGGTGACTGAAACATCATACAATAAACAGAAATTAAAACAAATACATATGTGGTGGTCTGATCTCTTATGAGACTGATTTTATGTATTGTAAAGCACATATATGTATTGTCAATGCATAGTTATGATTTGTATTTTAGGGTGTAACATATCCTTCAATGCATGCAATGTTAGCTCGATGGATTCCTCCTTTAGAAAGAAGTACTTTTGCAGCATATGTGTATGCAGGTAAGTGTGAAACATCTATCATAAATATTGCATAAATACTGTATATGTAGATCTATGAATCAGATGCTTATTAAATTTATTCGTGAGATTGTAAACGAAAACCTGGACTTTTAACTTTTTCCTCTCCTCCATCTTCATTTGCAATTGTGCAATATTTTTAGATGGTATAGTAGCAAATAGTATTTACAGTTAAAACTTAATCACTGCTGAAATCTTGTTTACACCACATCAAAACAAACATTGGTACCAGACCACTTCTTATATTTGTCTGTTCCTGTGTGCCTTGCCTTAGCATTTATGACACAGTGGTCAATAAGAGTGTGAGAATTTTAAGAGATTGTTTTGAAGACGTCATAAATAACATTTAAATAGACTGTAACCAGAATTTCAATTCAATTGTATTTCCACTGTTTCAGGTTCTAATTTTGGTACAATTATCTCATTACCACTTTCTGGATGGCTCTGTTCCTTAGAAAATGGCTGGCCATTATCCTTTTATATATTTGGAATTATTGGGATCATCTGGTTCGGTTTCTGGATGTTATTAGTTTATGATACACCATCAACCCATCCAAGAATCAACCCCCAGGAGAAAGCATTTATATTAGCCAGTATTGGACCTCAGGTACCTATTTTGAATATTTTTTTGACAGTAGTTTCATGCTTTTTGATTATGATTTTGCTTTTCTTGTTTTTATATACTTTTAACCCTTTGCGTCCAGATTTATCTGTTTATTTTGAAATCATTCATTTTATATTTAGATATTTTTAATTAGTACTAGTGAGTGTGAAGTGACCCTTTAAATGACATACAGTATCTCTAAATGGCAACACTAGTTTGATGATGCGTGCCTAATAATAATAATAATAATAATAGCCTTTATTTAACCTGGCGGGTGTCAGCTAAAAGCTGTTTTTCATACCAACCAGGGCCAAACAAACTTATAATACAAAATCTGGGAGACATAAACATTGTTGAGTTGAACAATAATGAAAAATCTATTTTGCTAAGAATAGGCATTTTTTTTTAATTTAAAGATAAAATCATATATAGTCACAGTTAACAGTTACACCATTACATAAGTTAAAAACTAAATAATATAAGGAATTATGACATATTTTCAAAAACAATTTTTTTTACTTTTGACCTAAAAAGTGGAACAGATAAAACTTTAAAGCTGACAGGGAGCATATTATAGCGATTGGGTGCAACAAAAGAGAAACTCTTAGTAAATAGGGTGGTTCTATGATGGGGCGTGTTAAGGGTGTAACCAACGAAACGGCGGTTGGCTGTATGATGCTGACTTCTCAAGGATAACTTATTATTTAAGTATATAGGGTATTTGGTCAATAAAATGCTATGAACGAAACATAAAATGTGAACCAATCACCTCTGCCTCATCGTCAACCAATTCACTTCTTGAATAAATGCAGACACTCGCTCCCTTCTTCGAATTCCAACAGAATATCTAATACAGCTGTTCTGCACTTTCTGAAGTCTGTAAGCTTCGGCTTCAGTCAAACAAGGACCAAACACGAAACTTCCATATTCTAACTTACTTAAAATGATTGAATCGCAAAGCTTAATTTTGGTATCTTGAGCCAACACGTGCTTAAAGCTGTAGATGCTTTTTAGTTTAGCAAAAGAGCTCTGTACAACCTTAGAAATATGATCATGAAAAGTTAAGTGCTCATCAAAGATTATTCCTAAGTTTAATACCGATATTTTGTGTGTGAGCTCTTCACTATTGAGGCATAGCTTTATAGCATCTCCACTGAACTCGTTCTTCTTAGAGCGGAAGGTAATTATGGCCGATTTGCTACAGTTTATGTGTAACCCGTGGTATCTAAACCAATCACAAACGCCGCTTAAATCTACTGCTAGTTTTTCATTAGCATCAACACATGAGGAGGGATCATAGGATAGATAAAGCTGGGTATCATCAGCATAAGAATGTAAGGCGCAATGTTTGACCGACCGATAGAAGTCCGACACGTATAAAGTAAATAACATTGGTACTAAAATGGAACCTTGCGGCACCCCCTTTACAATGACCCGATTGTCAGAATAGTCACTGCCTAATTTAACTTGTTGCAGTCGATCTGATAGGTAATTGTCAAACCATTTAATCGAATTCTCAGAAAAACCAAGAAAGTGCAGCTTAGCCAATAACATTTTGTGGTTTAAACAGTCAAATGCCTTTCTTAAATCCAACAGTTGTAGTTACGCAGGAATTATCTATAGCTCTCAAGTAGTCATCACAAATGTCAACTAATGCAATCACAGTACTATGATTTTTTCTAAATCTCGACTGTGTATTTGGAATTAAGCTGTATTTATTGATGTGTTTTGCATTTGCTCGTAAACGATCTTTTCTAGAATTTTTGACAAGAGTGAAAGTATGCTTATAGGCCTGAAATCACAAGGGAATTGGGGATTATCGATTTTACCAACGGGAATAACAGTTGCGGCTTTCCATATGAGTGGTACGATACCATGTTCCAAAGAAAAGTTTATAATATGAGTAAGAGCCTTGAGGCAAAAAGGAAGAATATAGGAAAATGTATCTATATTTAATCCATCTAGTCCGGTAGCACGCGAATTTATTTTTTGAAAGGTCTTCAAGACTTTTTCCTCGGTAACAAACTTAAACTGAAATAGGTCATTGATATTTGGTAGCATGTTGGTGTTGTAGTACTCTAAGAGTGTTTCATTTATTGAGTTATCGGGAACTGAATCCACAAAACAGTTATTTAATATGTTGGGTTCCAAAGTACACTGATTATTTTTACCCTTAGAACCATGAATCCCTAGCTCCTTTATAGCTTTCCACCAGCTCCGAGAACTGTTGCTTTTTCTTAGCTGGTATTCAATATATGCTTTTTTTCGCGCCTAATAGATGCTGTGACTAGATTCCTTAATTGCTTATAGTAGTTCCATTTGACAGTTTTTATCTCGTCAGAAAAATTGTTCTTAACAGTTTTCTTATACTTAGAATAGGCATTATTGCGTAACGGCATCATGAATTTAATATTGTGTGTAATCCAGGGACAATGTGCTTTTGATATCTTCCTGGTTTTGATTGGTGCGCATATATTTAGCAGATCATCAATAAGGCTGTAAAAATGTTGCAGTTTTGATTCAATGTCATCATAGTCGATAACACCTAGCCAGTGCATATTAGACGCTACCTCATTCAAAAGAAACTCATCAATATTCCTTAAATCACGGGTCTGTACTGTAATGAACAGTTGACCCCATATTTTCCGATTTGGTAAATCACACAAATCAGAAACCGTTTGGAATGGAAACACCATTGATTGACGTATCCGCATCAGGTAATACTAAGCCTTTCCTGCCATTTACACTCTCTATTATGGCCATGCTGTGTAATACTGGTAGTAACATACTGTATGGTTGTCACCCAGGTGGATATGGTCTTTCCAGGAGTCTAATGAGCACTTATGGTGTACCAATGTCAAAGTATTTGATGGAATTCAGCAAAATAGAGTTAATTGTGTAAGTCCATGTGACTAAACCTGCTGTTTCCATCAGCTGGTCTATTTTGTCAGATATCAATTCATTGCAGATAAAAATCCTAAATCATAGGCAACCAGTAATTATCGCAGTAAGATCAGAATACCAACTGGAACCAAGTAAAAGTATGATCTGGTGGTTATCCCAGCACACCAGTAGGCTGCAAAGAGTTAAAAGAGGGCATCAGATTTTGTTAGTAATTATCTTCTTAGCAAATCTGAACTTTCTGTGTCATTTACACATTTGTTTTGTGTTTCAGGATGATGATGATAGGTCAGATTCGATACCATGGTGCAGTATGTTGAAATGTGTACCATTATGGGCCATACTTGTAACCCAGTGTGGTCAGTCTTGGGCCTTTTACACCCAATTGACAGAACTTCCAACATATATGGCTAAGATACTTCATTTTGATATACAGTCTGTAAGTAATGGATCATATAATAATCTAATCCTTTAACTAAGTACTTTTTCTGCATCATCATAATTTGACTGATTACGATTTTTCCAGAATGCAGTACTTTCTGCCATTCCCTACCTAACCAGTTGGTGGTTTGGAATTCTTTGTAGTAAATTTGCTGACTGGTTGCTCGGTAAAGGCGTGGTTTCATTATCAATGTCATATAAAATATGGAATTCAGTCGGTAAGTAGTCATTAATATTTACTCCACATGTACTGAATTAATCAGAAAAATACGACGCTAAACTGTTGGTCGCTCCAAAATAATGTCAATATAGAGTCGCAAGTAATATGTTTCTGTCCAATAACAGAGAGTGATTCCAGAGTTAGCTAAAACAATAATAATGAAATTGTAATTTTTTTCCAGATATCCTTTTGAGGACTTTGGCATTTTAATATTAACTGGGTGCTTAATTGAGATTACACATTCGTCAGTATGTCCAATGGTCTAAATCCAAACAGTAGTTTCAGGTTTAAGGTCTTTGCCTGACAATATTTTTTCCATGTCCATCATATGGAAGAGCGCGCACTACACTGTAATTTTATGTTGTAAACATAAAATATTTTGTTTGTTATGATATGGTCTATACGCTTTTTCACGATATATTTTATTTTGGTTTTTTGAACGCTACAGATTCATTTTGTGCTTGCTAAAAGCTCTATTACTTAGAAAAGTTCATTTGCATACAAAAAAGAAAACGTAACAAACAAATGTTTGCTAGATTTACACCCGATTCGTTATAGCCAACGTTGCAGACTAACACAAAAATGTCACTTGTTGGAACGAGTATCATATTTTAAAAATCGTCGGAATTAAAGTCATAACTAAACATTGTTATGGATGAATCTCCATGTTTTAATCACATCAAACGCAACATCAAATGTATAAATGAAAATTTCACTGACGTTCTGTCCACCAAACATAGAGATTCATCAACAGGGCAACCACAAGATAAAGTTCAGATGTTACATTATCATTAAGGATTGTTCCTATAGTTTCAAAAACATCACGCTACATCATTGATTAACGTGTTCTACCTGAGGATAGTCCACTACATACTGTATTTCGGGGAAAAAAATCATCCGACATAATATTTATTCACGCTCATAATATGCGAAAAAATCGATTTACCACAAGAGGAGAAAGACCATGTACATTGGTCTCGGAGATAAGATATCCTACCGTTCTCCTTGAGATTTTATCACAGGATATCTCATTTTATCTCTGATTCTTTGAAAGCCGAAACATAGTCGGCTATCGTCAGGTAGAATAGGTTATATTAATCGTACTGTCTATGCGATAGCAAAACCTAAACACCGAAATATCGGCAGGGTTATTACGTGGAAAACCTAAACGTCAGAAAAATCTACAAAATGTCAACTTGCTGCCTAGATAGGTCCTAGTGTGGAAATAGTACATTCCTCGTTTGCTCGCTATGAGCGCTGTAGGCGTCATTAAAAGCGTCCGTCTATGGAGGAATGACTCAACGACACGACACGCTCAATGACCACGCTATAAGCTGCATGTCAGTTAACCTTCATACTTTGTTGGTTGCTGAATGCTGAGATAGTGTGTAGATTTGTGGTTGAGTAGCGGAGTAGCAAGATCACATCTGGATGATTGTGTGTATTGGTCTGCATGTGTATAAAATCAATGATATTTGCTTTTTGAGAAAATTATTACTGAATATGCTGCCCATGAAATATATCTATACCCTATTTCACGAGTATCCATCGCTGAGGTGAACAGATGATCAGCAAGTAACATTTTTGTGTTCGTCTGCAACTTTGGCAATAATGTATCGGCTATAAATCTAGTAAGACTTGTTTGTTGCGTATTTGTTTTTTAAAAAAAGTTTTCTAAATAAAAGAGCTGTTAGGAAGTACAAAATGAATCAGCGTACAAAAAACAAAACAAAATTCGGCTTTGTCTACCTGGCGTTGACGGATCCATCAGAATAGTGTGTCTCCTATCCTGATATGAGGAATTTTGAGATATTACTAGATAATCAGCTGACATTCTATCGTGATAGATACTCGTGAAATAGGATATTTTAGCTGTGCCAGACAGGTTACTTGTGTTATCCTTTCTGTAGAGAGGTTATGTTCAAAGTTATACATTTCGATTTTCCCCGTTTTTTTTTCGTTTTCAAAAACTTTGAGAAGCATTTCGGGAAAGCAGCACCGCACCCGCTTTGTGTGTAATTAAGCCACATAACAGAAAAATTAGGAATGACGCATAACATACAAAACATTTACGCACTGCCTCACATCTAGCCGTTGATTTGTATTTTCTACATGACGTAAATTAAATTTGAATGACTGGAAGTAAAAATTAATGTTAAATGTAATAACTTTTTTACGTTTCAAAAATATCCCCATATGTACCATATTTTCTCATCTATTAGCTTTAATATACTTCACCAACCAGGTATTTTCATTTCTTATCGCTCTCTTTTCTGAAATTCAGCAAATTTGCATATGTAGTTTTCAGGTTGAATAAGAAAAAGCGGATGCGCAACTAATTTTTATCTTTGCATACATCTCAAGTAAGTGTATCTGAGACAAGAAACCAATGTCAATAATCTCAAAAAACCTCTGCGGAACTGCTGTGCTTGTTATTTTTGATATGAAGCTTTTGCAGACATATATAATGCCCTTACAGCTTCCGTGCTTCCATCTTTGGGCTTACTGGGCGTGGCCTACGTGGGCTGTAACCGTACAGCCACGCAGGTGCTCCTTGCCGCCTCCGGAGCATTTACTGGCGCTGTGTACGCCGGCAATCAGATGAACCACATCGCGCTCAGCCCCAAATATGCCGGAACTATGTACGGCATCACGAATGCGGCCAGCAACATGTGCGGCTTCATCGCTCCATATGTTACTGGGATGATTATCGAAGGAAGGGTAAGCAATTTCAAAATATAGATCTGTCTTAAAAAATGTATGAACTAGAAAAATTACAAAATCCAAATGTGATATTTCACTTCCCACATATCAACTGCTCTCGGAAATTCAGTGTAACATTTCTCAAGGGAGTCGTAAGGAGGATGTATACAGGGAAAACCAAGTTTGTCTGACGGGTTGAGTTTACTGTGTATGAGAGAAAAGCGCGAGTAGTGTGTATCAACACATGTTAGAAAGAGATAGAAGCCGACTGAAGAGCTAAGGTCATCACCACATTGCCTAGAAACGGTGACGCAGAGGGTCGTGCAATCTGCCACGTTGACAATATGTTACACCAGAAAATATTCGAACAGGACTCATGGGTTAGGCTGCTGTCAAGCCCAATGAGGTCTTTTCGCACATTTAACTTAATATTTTGTTTTCATTTTGATTGGAATTATTCATTACAATTTTGATACGACTTAGTGTTTTAATTTATTTTAAAATTATCTTCAATTTCCACCGATGGTGATCAAATCAAAACATCCTGAGTTCTCGCTGTCGCAAAATTTAACAAATACCAGTAAGCAATACAAATTATCACTGCCTGCCTGTACGCAGGTGAAAACCATTTCGAAGCAGAGCGACACTACACAATGAGCACTAGATGGTTCATGACCAAAATCGCTTACCTATGATCATGGAGGTGAAAACTTTGCCTTGACATGTAGCAGATGCGGTGTTGCCAAGCGAACCAATGATGCTATGTTGCAGAATGACCTTTCATTTCGTTCTAAAATGGAGCGCCGTTAGGACCGATCCGGCAATGATCCTAAACGGATTCGGCACAATCTACAATTCAAAAATATGTATGCCCAAAATAAAACCATTATTTGAGCGTAGAGAATCAACTAAGGCATATTTTCAACATGCCTCTGGATTCAAGGAATTGGTGTAACATATTGGCAACGCGGCGAATTGTCGCGTCAGCATTGCTAGACAAGGCGGTGATGAGCTTCGTTATCCAGCCGACATCTCTTTCTAACATACGTGTCTACACCCTTCTCTCTCACACACATTGAACTCAAGCCATCGAGACAAATTTAGTTCTCAGTGTATGTGAATGTCTGCTCTGATCATATTTCTTAATATCCAATATCAATTGATTATAACTAATTATGTACTTTTCACAAAGACTAAGCTTGCAATTGTTTATATATGACCTTTTTCGCCACATTCAAGTATTTTTAGCCTGTTAGACTGTTCATATTCTCCATCCGCCATTAGCTTTTTGAATATCAGCTACATCACGAAAATCCCCGATCCTCAAAAAAAATGTAAACTGGAATATTTTTAAAATGGCGTCATGTAGATTGACTGTACTTCCCTCGCATTTCAGTCGGCAATTATAATAGCTATATGACAATACATTCACCGTACATATAGATATTTGTTTGATTTTTTCCACACATTACGCTACTGGCTTATATCGCCTAAACTAAGAATGTCCTTGTTTCTTCCATTAAACAGTACTCAACCTTCTATCATTTCATTTATATTTACATCATAAAAAACACCTTTTGAAGCACAGTACACATATTGAACAGTCTACTAATAATATGAGTACTAGTATACTAAGTAAAATAATTTTATTTATATCATTATTACAACCACCCAACTACTACAACTTCCAACCCGCGATTTTTAACATCCTCAAAAATATTTGAAGAAAGCGTTTGGTATAGTTCGGCGTTATGTACGGAAGCATTCCGTTGCTTTAGGAATCCCTAGGTCAACACTGTATGGCATAATGAAGAAAAAAATGTGTTTTCATTCGTAAAGGAAAGTGATTACGTTTACGGAAATCTGGTGCTGAACGGATGTTGAATCTTTTTGCTGCGCAGCGCAGACTCGAGAACGATGTTTTCAGTGACGAGGCCCATTTTCACTTCGACAGTTATGTGATCAAGCAAAATTGCAGATATTGGGCACCAACGAACCCAAAAGAGAAACATCTACAACAGCTACATAGTCCAAAGGTGACTGTTTGGTGCGCCATATCCTCTAGCGGTATTATTGGGCAGTATTTCTTTGAAAATGAAAACGGTCATGCATTGACAGTCAATTCCGAGCGATACAAGGACATGATTGACACGTTTTTTGCTCCTATTGTATGAAAAGAACGTAGATTTAACAGAAACGCATGGTTTCAACAGGATGGGGCCACTGCCCATATAATCTAAAGTCAAAAGTGTATTCCAATAATTCACGAACACTGGTGGGGCTTAAAGACAACATTCGTCCAGAAATAAACATCACTCCAGAACTCTGCAAGAGAGTGTTTCAGACTTTGCACTCGTGATTAGACGAATCCGAAGGGATGGTAAACATTTGGACGGAATAATATTTGAGAAATAAAACCCGCCGAATTTACGAATATGTTAATAGTAATAAATATTTTCTTTTCGTTAAGTTTGTATTTTTTTTCTAAAATCATAAAGTGAACTGTAAACTGTATTAAAATTTCATCAAAATACGAGCGGTGCTTCCAATAGGCGCCAAGGATTAGCGGAAAAACAGACTGCTGGAACTGAGTGATATGGTTTTTCGTGATGTATATGTCACGTAACAGCCAAAGCCTGTTATCTCATTTTCAAACTTTCTCACGAATACAATACGTCCTCTCCAATTGGCCGCGTCTAACACTAATGCATTGCTATATTTTTTCCATGATTGCTTTGCATTGTTATCCCTGAATTCATTTTTAATTTCAGGAGACGTTAGACCAATGGCGAACTGTATTCTACCTAGCAGCTGGTATCAACATAGGTGCGAACCTATTCTACATCGCATTTGCTAGTGCAAAAGAACAGCCCTGGTCCAGATCTCAAAGACTTACTACAATCAACTGACAGGCAGAGTACTTAGCTATGTTTGTCGATGCTTAGCGAATTTTATACTACAAGATATGTAGAGAAAATGTAAGTTACATTTTATTGGTGTTTTATGCCACTGCATAATGTATGTCTTACAAGAACAGAGCTCGAGAAAATGTCACAGTTGCGTACTGATGTTTAAATGAAATATTGTTGGTACTTTGTCAAGTTCTGATTACTATGCGTTATTTGAATTAGCGATTACTTTTTAAAAATTTTATCAAACAATTTTTAATATTGTCGTACTTCGTACATAAAAATATGTCAGATTCAACATTACGATACTCTCAGAACTGACGAGCAATTTATTAATGTCTAAAGGAGGGTGATACTGCGTACTAAAAGTTAAAATTTTGCCACCGTCTTACTAGAAATTGCTGTTGCCCATTTTTTTCATCTTAATATTTTTTTAAACTCAGAAATTATCTATGAAAAATAATATCAGACAAATGTCCGCCTCTAGAAGCCGCGCAATCTTGAGCCCTTTTGATTACATTTCACCATCACTTTTTGGTAGGTTTCGGGGGGGAATATTCTCATTCGCTTCCGTAATATTGTTCTTCAGCTGCTCTACAGTATTTGGTCTGTTGGCATAAATCCTATTTTTCAAAAATCCCCATAAAAAAGTCAGGAGCCGTTAAATCCGGTGACCTTGGTGGCCAGTTGACATCTCCAAATCGAGAAATTAAACGTCCCGGAAATATTGTTCGCCAGATTCATTGTTTCCTAGTTGTGTGACAAGTTGGTCCGTCCTGCTGGAACCACATGTTTTGCAGGTTAAATTAATGGATTTGAGGAGCCAGAAAGTTTTGCACTATATCACGGTAGCGCTCGCCAGTGACTGTAAGAGAATTACCTGCAGCATCTTTAAAGAAGTAAGGTCCAATGACACCTCCATACCAAACACCGCACCAAGCTGTGACTCGACGAGGATGTAGTGATCTTTGGTGGATGACACGAGGGTTCTGTCCAGATACGACAATTCTGCTTATTAAGAAACCCGTTCATATCGAAGAAGTCTTCATCGCTCATTATCAGTTGTCGGTAAAAATCGGTATTTTGTGTATTAAGCTGTAATATTGCATGACTGTATTGTAGGCGACATGGTCACTAGGCTGTAATTCTTGGGTTAACTGAATTTTGTATGGCCGCAAATGCAAGTCGTTTTTTAAAATAGTGCATAATGACGTGCGACGAATACCCAGTTCTTGAGAACGATGTCTGGTAGACGTCTCAGGTCACTTGACTACACTTTCACGAACTCTCTCGATATTTTCCGTAGTACGAACAGTTAGAACACGGCCCGACCTTGGCAAGTCTTTAACTCCACCTGCTTGTTCAAATTACCGCAGCAACTGACGAATGGTGTTGACACTGGACACATTATTTCGACCGAAATCTTGTCGCAGCTTCCGAATCGTTGCAACAATCGACTCATTATTTAAGTAAAATGTTTTAACAATACGGACGCGTTGTTTGATCGTGTAGCGCTTAATGATGAATTGGACACATGTGCTTTAAACAACTGCTAGGGCGCCACCTACTAAAATGCGTGTATCACAAATGGCGCGCAATTTAAATCAGTCAGTTACATATTGGACACCCTGTATATAGGCCTTTTCGCGGTATTTGACGGTTCACAGCGAAACCAGAGTAGTTATACTATGAGAAGAGAATTTATGGAATATCTTTATGATCCAGCGGTCGGCTCGGTCGACCTTGAGTTTAGCCTGCATTACAGATTTACGACAAAACAACGATCTATGAGCGAATCTCCCTTGATTTGGCGGTTCGCTCATAGATGGCTCAGCATCTCCCAAAAAAGCGCAGTTGCTTTACCGAGGCAATGTTGTCAAACTGACAAAAAATGTTTAGAAACTGATACACTTTTACTGAGCTGAATATAGTCTTTCTCATTGTTTTTTTTTGCTACATCACAATGTCATACGAAATAAGTAAATACATTGTCTTAACTCCACCACTTGCCTAACCGCTAAATACCATTCATTTAAGAGAATGTCCTACTCAGGACTCCTTGATGATAAAGAAATATAGAATATTTATAATAGGTGTGCATTTTGTTAAGATGAAGAATTAGCTTGTTGAGTACAGTTATTGTCGATCTTCAATTAACATAAAAGCTGCTTGCACTATGCAATGGCATCAATCACTTGATTTTACTATAAGTGTATATATATATATAATATGTATTTAAGACAAAATATGTGATCTTAGAAAGTCTTTAAGTTGAATACTGAATATGTCTATATTTATACTTACATATTTGTAATACCATATCTTACTATTTTTTGTTTGTTCCGTATAGTTTAGCGCTGTGATCCCTGAAGTGATTTGATTTTTGTGCAATAACGAATAAATTTTCTCACCTATAGAGTCTCATTAAAAATTCTCACGAACTTTCATCATATTAAGTAGACATACTAAGCAGTGGCGTAGCTACCTTGGGTAAGGCACCCGCTGCGGAAGTTGGTGGTGTCACCCCATCGAAAGTCAAAAGCAATAAATTTTATATGGTTTACAAACGTCGTGGATCATTTAATATATATATTTAAAATATTGAACAAATAACAACATTAAAATCTCTTCTTTATAGCTTTGACAGCTGCAAACTCAGAAATAACTGCATCAAAATTTATATTTTGTATTGCCTCGTGCTCGATGGCTAATGTACAAAGAGTGCTAACGTGATTGGGTCATTGTTGCCCGCAAATAGTTTTTTATTAATTTTAGTTTACTGAAACTCCTTTCACATGAAGCTATGGACACGCAAACCGTCATGAACAATTTTAGTGCAACGATAAGATTTGGAAGATATTCTGTAAAATCCCATTCTACAATAAACTTTAAAAAATCTAGAGATACTCATCAGAAACTGTAACATTAGCGGATTTTAAGTGTCTTCACAGTCTTGGTATCTCCAAAAGTAATTCTGTTTCTGAGACCTTATCATGAAAATCAGTAAATTTGGATGTAACTGATTTCAGTTCTTCAGTATTCGCGAAAAGCAAAGTATTTTTTTGTACGATCTCAAACAATGAAGCTAGGTCTTGAAGAGACTTCGATCTTGTCTGGAGTTCAACTCTGAAAAAGTTGAGTCACCAGGAGGGTGTCAACCGCCCCCGCCGCCCCCACCTTGCTACGCCACTGATACTAAGGCTGGTCATTTGGACTAACAACTGTGTTTTTTGTTTTCTCAGAGGCATGACATAAGCCCAGTGGCAATACATGAGTATGATCTATGATTGTAGTAATCTGCAAACATAATTTACTGACCAAACATTTAGATGGCCAACATTTTAAGGATAGTATGCTCTGTGAATATAGAAATTTCTGATATTTGTAAAGAACATAAAAATTAATGTGAATATGAATAAAAGCACTGAGGACACAGATACAAGCCCCTAAAGGAAGTCTGTAGAAATTTGGTTTTTCTTGAATACACCTGTTCAACCACTAATTCAGATATATTCAGAAAACATGAATATGCTTGATACATAAATTTATACAGAATATTTACAACTAAAATGTTCATTGCTCGAAATATGCTTTTGATTTCATAAATGAAGGCGGGGTTAATATACCCAAGATGCACAATTTTTTATCATTCTGTATGCTTATACACTGGTATGTGTAAATGACAGAATTTTTTTCCTTTTCTAAACTATTGTGCGTAAAATGGTATTTAGAATGAATTCCAAAAGCTATTTGTGATATCATTTACTTCATTCTTTTATTTAACTGTTAATTTTGTAAGTATTATCAAATGTAAATAAAAATAGTAAATATTGTGAAGATGACATTATGAATCAGTATAACAACTCAAATATATATTTTTACAACAGCATTGGTTTTTATTACCTATCCTACCCCAGTGCTGTTGGGCAGTCCCATTTCTATGACCCATATCTGCATTATATTATTTTTATAATACAATTTACAGCATTCAATATACAGTGGCGGACAAAAGTTTGGAAACAAATATTAACATTATGAACTACTTCATATACCTAAATTAAAATTGTGAAGGAACAGATAATATAAATATTAAAATCTACCTTCGGCTCCGGTACTAATATATGGTTTGTCTTATTAATAGTCAAATTCTCTGAAAATAAAAATACGTTTTTTTTTAAATAACAGTTTTTGTAACGACAAAAGTATGGAAACATTTTGCCGTATTTATTCGTTCTGCGAGAGTAGTGAGAATAACAAAAGTAAAAGAATTTTCAAAAGATTTAAGAGACAAAGTAATTGAATTATTTAGAAGTGGTGTCAGAAATGTTGACCTTTCTCAAAGATAAAAATGAACAACGGGACGATTTCGAAAATTATTAGTAAATATCAAGAATACGGATCAACAGCAACACGGCCCAGGTGCGAGAGACCGAAAAAAAACCGATTATGTTTTGGATCACTTGGTGGATTTTGGGCTTTTTGGTAGGCATCCAGTGCATTTAAAAAAAAAATTATATTGCTTGGCTTGAATTTGCTAAAACTCATCTAACTTGGACAGAACAATGGAATACAGTTTTATGGAACGATGAAAGCAAATTTAACATGTTTGAATCTGATGGAATGGCATATGCGAGACATCCAGTACGAAAGAGATTCAACTAAAAGTATCAGTTGCCAACAGTTAAGCACGGTGGAGGTAACATCATGGTTTGGGGCTGTTTTTCTAGTTCTGGAATGAGTCCAATTGTTAAAATTGTTGGGAAAATGGATCAAAAACTTTACAAAAATATTCTTAGTGAACATTTACTCGCCTTTGCTGAAGAAGAACTGCCTTTATGATGGACATTCCAGAAAGATAATGACCCCAAGCATACCTCAAATTTCGTAAAAGACTGGCTAATACTAAAAAATGTTCTTACATGACCTTCACAATCCCTGGACCTACACAGTATAAAACATCTCTGGGAGCATGTTAAAAGACAACTGACAAGAAAAACTTAAAAAATAGGAAGCAGATGTCAGTCAGTGCTGAAGGCTATGATACCAAATATTAACTTAAAAATATTTTTTAAACTTTTTGTATTTAATTTTGTAATAAAAAATTTCTCCACACTTTTGTCATTTCATGTTTGGTCAATAAATAATATGAAGTAGTACCACAGCAAACACAAATTATCATTTGTATCCTCAATACTGTAAGCAAACTATATGAGAAAAAAAAATAATCCATAATAATAAATAAAAAATTACTAAGAATGTTTCCAAACTTTTGTCTGCTACTGTAGTTTTCCAAAATAGTGTACTTTCTGTTTTTCTCATAACTATGCAGGTGCTCTAAAGATTTTTAATAAAAAAGAAATCCCACCTGTTTTTTTTTAATCAGAATAACAAAATTGAACTTATTACACAGTATATTTGTACACTAATAAATTTAAATAAAACTAGAAACACATAAATATTTTATTCATAAATATCTTCATGGTCTCCAACATATCTGACAATATCAGCTGGTCTCAACAGTTTTTCTGCATCAGCATCAGGTATTTCAAATCCAAATTCATCCTCTATTGCCATTATTATTTCAACATGATCCAAGGAATCTAAGCCCAGATCATTTATGAAGTGTGAAGTCAGTTGAAGCTAAAAAATAAAAATTATAATTGTTGAAAAACAAAGTAGTTGTAGAGACTTGTAACCATTTTATGCTAGTACAACAGTTTTAGCCTATTATCTCAAAATGTTATCAAATTGCATTTTGAATCTGACATAATTGTGTATGTCATTTTTAAGCAATTCAATTTGGTAGCAAGTTGAAATTACTATTGTGTAGATTTTTAATTAAAAATCAGTCTTATCTGAAATCTAATAATTATATTAACTAAGAAAAAACACAAATCTGAAACTGTTAATTTTGTTGATTATGTGTAAACTTTCCTGATGTTTTGGCTACCCCTGCAGCTGTTTTCAGACAACAAACTTCTAATGTATTTATGCCTCTATTTTTGTACTTTGAAAAAGCTGGCAATGGCATATCAATGAAGGGCAATTTTTATTATATATGTTCTCAAACATTAGCTAAGCAAGCATGGTGTGATAATTTTATAAACTGTAACTTGTTGTACCAGTATAACTGATGCAAAATTACTGTACCTTATCAGGATTGATTTTATCATATAATTTTAACACTAACAAAACTCGGTCTGTTATAAGCTTTAAACTCAATGGAGGTTTAGAACTGTAACTTCGCACAGATGGTGTAACGAGTCTCTGAAACGAAAAGAACTATTATATGTACCTTGTCAGCAGTGACTTTATCATAAGAAGCACACACTTTTAGAACCCTTTGTTTGATCTCCTCCTCAGTTGGTTTTTGCTTGATCAGCTCAGGAGAGTAAAATCTAATCTAGAGATAAAAAATACCCATGACATTCAACAAAAAGTGAGGTTAGTTTTCGTTATGTAATGGCAAAAATGTTATGAAAAATTGAAAATTCAATATTGAAAATTGATATAAATCTTTAGTTTTTACTAGATTATCAATAAATGAATGAATAGTTTGGAAATACCTGACATGGCATCAATGGTACTGTGCTTGTGGGAGAGATGATTTGTGGCTTCCGAGTCAGAATTGTAGGCGCGACACATAGTGTTCTAGTAGAAATAGACTTAAATATTGATGTTCTAGTAATTGCTCTGATATTTTTCACTGCAACTGCCATTTCTGACCTTTTTCAACACGTTTTTACACTATTTTGTTTCCTTAAAAACCAGCCTGCATGGAAAATCGGTGTTGCCAAAAATCACGGAACACAAAAAGTAAACCGTAACCTAACCTCACAAGCGTAGCACAAATAGTCTCAGGGGGGTGAAATGTCTTATGGGCGAACTGGCAAGACCAAGGTCATCCTCTCCAGGCAAAATCGAGTTAACTGTATTACCGGCATCACGTGACGTGTGGCTTACCGGGATAAGGGATTCTCCTTTATCTGAATTTCTGAATGTAAAAATATCAAATATTGCGTTTGTTTTGGTTAATATCGAAATTATCAACGCTGATGCTTTTGGAGATATTTCGTAAAAAATGAGCATATACTATAAAGCAACACTATCAGTAGCTGTGATAGTACACGTGAAATGTATTGTGACTATTGTGGGAGATGCAGAAGTTGACCTTGTCATGTCATAAAGTGCTACAGGTACGCTGTGAACTTAGCATATTGGCACGATGTATTTGGTAGATTATTTAAAATAGTATGTCTTTTTCTCAGTAAAACTGTTGAAAGAGATATTACCCTTATTGCGGATATTTTGTTCAAAACATGTTCATGAAATAATCCTTCAATATTTGAAATATCATTTTCAGCAGATTTTGAATTATGAGCAAACGAAATCTCAGACACATTCCTAGCATTCCTTATTCCAGGAGCATTCTTTCGATAGTCACATAACACTACTTAAGTAGGTGTTATGTGTCGATAGTTCCTCCAGATCTCCAGGCAAGTAGGCAGCGCAACCCCATCTGACATACGTCAACGGTGTTGCCATTGTTTAACGTGCAGCTACCACTTCTTCGGTCTTATGTGTTTTGGTTTTGTGGCACAAATCTTAAAAGATGGACTACTTTCAATACACAAATCAAATCCAAGCGAATAACCAAATTTTTTTTATTATACAGGGTGTTCCATAATTATTGCGACAAAATGATAGGGGTTGTAGAGGGCATCAAAATGAACAATTTTTCCTTATAAACCCCTGTTCGGAAATATGCCGTTTGGGCTGCAGCAAAAAAAAAAAAGATCAGTTTCTTGAAACAGCTTACCTACAGTAATTGCTCAAAGTGTCCACCTTGCTCAATACACAGCTGTGCACGATTGTTCAATGATCGGCGAACTCTGTGGCATACCCCCGGTATGTCCTGAACATGTGCGGACGCGGCCATCACTCTTCCCAGTAGCTCTTGTTGGTTGGGAACAGGAGTTTCGTACACTAAAGCTTTCAGATAGCTCCAGATAAAATAATCCAGTGGGGTCAGGCCAAGTGACCGCGCAGGCCAAGGCACAGGGCCACCTCGGCCTATCCACCTATTTGGAAATTTGTCGTCCAAATACTGCCGCACTTGCAAAGAAAAGTGGGCTGGACCGCCATGGTGTTGAAACCACATGTTGGCTCTTATATTCAGTGGCACATTTTGTAATAGTTCCGGTAGTACATGCTGTAAGGATCGACCATAAGCATGCCCATCCAAACGTGGTGGAAGCAGATATGGCCCGATGATATGCTCGTCCACAATGCCGCACCAGATGTTAATTGAAAACTGATGTTGGTCTCTATGGATGGCTATGGCATGAGGGTTTTCTTCATCCCAAATGTGACTGTTATGGCTATTAAAATAACCGTCCTTTGTAAAACAGGACTCGTCAGTGAACAAAACGTAGCGACTAAAGTTTGGTTGCCTCAACTCCTGCTGCAGCCACCAACGGCAAAAACGTCGACGCGGCAGATAGTCTGCTGGACCCATGGCTTGGACTTTTAAAAGGTGGTACGGGTGTACGATAACAAAAATGTAAACACAGCAGGCTTTTTTTACAAACCGGTGAGACCATGAAATGTGCTAGACGAACATTTTGCAGCTGGTGAATTTTTTGTTTCTCCTATGAGCTCTTAAGGTAAAATTAACTGTAGTGCTCAAACGGCATATTTACGAACAGGGGTTTATAAGGCAAAATTGCATATTTTTATGCCCTCTACAACCCCTATCATTTTGTCGCAATAATTATGGAACACCCTGTATAGCGCGGTTATGATATGGTTTAAGATGACACACGGGCTGATGACGTCAGTTATTCGAATCGCTTGAACGCGTTGTTTTTAACGGTTTTGTTGCAAGTTGTTTAAGAAAAGCGCGTATATAATTTTTGATTATCTTTATTACCACTTAATAATCCGTGCTTTTTCGTCTACAACAGTGTATGGAAAGTTAATAAAAGAAACCTTTCATAATATTAATCGGAGAAATGCTTTTTTTTCAGAAAATAATTTTTAATGATAGAACCATGGCTTTGTAGCTATGATAACTTTCAATTCTCGAAACTTTTCCGCATGTCAAAGAATGATTTAGCAGAAATGATGGTTAAAAGCAATGAAAAAAGATATTAGAAAAACCATATACAGGTGGACATTATCCAGGATACTTTGTTATGCATAGGAACTAGATTTAAAGTGTCCCCGACAACAGTAATTAGTATAACTAACAAGGTGCTCCACTTTATGCTACAACTGAAGTTAGCCTGTATCAAGTTTCCCAAAAATGAAGCTGAAGTACAACAAAAATATCCAATACTCGGCAAAATTCTAACTTGTCACATTTCAAATAATAACCAGAAGTATGAAACTACTCATGAGTTGGGTAAATACAATTTTGCGGTGATAACTATGACATATAACAGCTGATTCATGACGTCACGGATCTTATCACCAAACTGATAACCACACTCGCTTGAACGGATCAGTAAATACCAACCCAAAATGGTGAATACCATTTTCATTTGGTTATTCGCTTGAATTTGATTATTATACACGTTTGCCATCTTTGGTCAGCGTTATTTCAGAAAAAGCTGTTATTCGTCTGAGGCTTACTATTTTTCTCTAAGCTTTTCTCATTCCTACTATAATAAGTTATAATTCTGGTGCTGTTTTTTGCTAAGTAAAAAAAGTAAAAACAAGTAATGTTTTGCAAAATAAAAATTGTATTTGTTTCAGACCATAAAAAATAAAGTATATAGCTTACAAAACTAGTTTTTCAAGGTAATATAAGAAATCACAAGCATCACAACTCAGGTATATTCTGAGCGCATCATCCATGATGATAGTATATAAAGTAGTCTCACTTAGGAATATTTTCTTTATCGGCTTTCTTAACTTTTTGAACCTGAAATATATAGTAACGTCAGTATAGTAGATGATGTACGTAGGACAATGAAAACTGTTAGATTTAATACCGGCACTAAGCGTTGAAGATTTACGTTCATATTAGTGATTTTTTTAAACATAAAAACTTTCTTTTCAAATTTATTTTAAACCTTGAACTCAGTATAAACCATACTAGTAATTGAAGAATGAGTGATTTCACGGCTAATAACTATTTTTAGGTACATCTACTCAAATTTTGACTTTATTATTTAAAACATTAGTAGTATGTCATTTAGGTTTTTCGGGCTGTTGAGCCGGTGTCGGGTTGGATTTTCTCCAGAGCTTTCAGTTACATCTGCGGTAGCCATCTTCAGTGGCGCTGTCGTCGAGAGCGAAGTGCTCGGCTTGGCGGGTCGACTGTAACTGATCGGTTAAGGAACAGGAACACGGTTTCCTATACGATCCCACCACTTCCCCGGTCCAGGTACCCTCACTCTTTCTGGCCCAAGTGGCGGTACCTGGACTAGACGCTCCTGCAACCTGTGTTCCTGTCGGACGCATACTCGTGTACCTTAATTTGGTTTTACGAGTCGTCCTCTATTTGGGGTTCCATCGGTGGAACCTTGACCTGAGGTCCACGTTAAGGTTTCCTAAGACTTTTGTGGGTTCTTTGGTTTGTTAATCTTCTATCTTGAATTGCCTCCTGACCACCTCGACAAATGCCGTCGTCGCCAGAAGGCCTACGTGTTAGTGCCAACTAAATGCCCGCACCTCAAATGAGATCGGTGCATTCAGCATGGCAAATCTTTGCCGTCTGACCACCGGTACTGCACAGGGCTGTACCTTCCTCACGAGGTTCTACCCCTCTTCCTTAGAACTCATCAGCTGCTGTGTCCCGTGTCTTCTAGCAGCTGGCTTTTCGGTCTTTTGTGCCTATGTATGAAACTTGGGTCGTAGTCCACGGCTGCCTTGATAAGCTGGTTCTCGTGATCTTCGGCGTTGTTGAAGAACTTCTGGGCTCTGATCTTCCATTACTTCCAGCACTGGCACTTGTACAAGGTCTTCGTATCGCACTCGATTTGGCACGTACAATGGTGCGTTGATCGCTTCTCGGAGTGCTATGAGGTGTTGTGCTTTTTACACGTCTTGGCTGCGTAGGCCCAAGCAACTGACGCGTAGGTCATGATCGGTAGGAGCACCATCTTGATCAGCAGCATTTTATTCCTCAGGGAGAGCTTGCTCCTCCTTACAACACCGGTCTTAGCTTGGCTCTTGCCATCTTGGCTTTCGTCACTTGGGCTTCTATGTAAGGCCTCCAGGTGAGTCCCTTATCGATCTTGACGCCGAGGTACGTGCTGGTGTCTTTCCACTGAACCGCTTCCTCCGTCGCGCCTTCGACCTCTCTCCACCTGTGTAGTTGTCATCCTGAGATTGCCCTCAGGGGTCTTGCGATTTTTCTTGAGAAGCATCGCCTCGGTCTTGTCTGGATTCAGCTGGATCCTCCATTTCTTGCACCATTCCTGTAGACTGGTTGTCGCTCTTTGTAGGTAAGTCGTAGTCATGCGGGGCTGAGATGACTCGGCTACGTATGCAGTGTCGTCCGCATACATCAACAGCTGCGTATTTGGAGTCTTCGGAATGTCGGAACTGTAGATGACATATAGTAGTGGAGATAGGACAGCTCCCTGCGGTACCCCAGCTTCTGCAGTTCTAGTTGTCGAAGTTGTGTTTCCCAGTCCAACCCGGAATTTTCGGTTCTTCAGATATGACTTCACTAGCTGAATCATCCCTGTCGAGTACCCCTTGTCCTGCATCTTTTAGATGAGTCCATCGTGCCAGACGGTGTCAAATGCCTTCGCGACATCCATGGACACCGCCCCCGCAAGTCGCCGAGTCTGCCACCCACTGGTCCCATACTCCGCGAGTCAAAGCATCTGGTCCTTTGATGAATGGCCGCTCCGAAATCCGAACTGTTCGTCTGGCAGTACTCTTAGGTCTTCGGTTTGTTGACCAAGTCTTCGCTCGATTGCCCTTCCTGCAACTTTGCTGAAGGAGGTTAGCAAGCTGATTGGCCGGTAATTTTGTGTAAATTTCATGTCCTTCCCAGTCTTCGAGATGTTGATTACGTCCACGCTCTTCCATCTTTCCGGGAAGTATCGATGCCTCAGCATAGCGTTAACGATGTTCGTTATGGCCACAACCGCCTTTCTCGGAAACCTCTTCAGTATTCTGTTCCCTATTGCATCGCAGCCCGCTGCTTTCCTGGTCTTGAGTGTCTTGATGGTGTCTCTTATTTCCGTCGGCGAGGTGGATTGCTGCATAATTTCTCCTCCTCTCGTAGCTCTTCTTGATCTTCTTTCCACTTCCTCTACGAAGTCGTCGTCCTCGTCTGGGTGCATGTACGTCATACACTGCCGTTGTAGGTTGTCCGCAAATGCTTCGGCCTTCTCGTCGTTCGTATACACGATCCCATGAGCTCCGTGAAGCGGTGGAACTTGCTGTCTTCGATTCCTCAGAATCTTCGCTAGGTTCCACATTCCTGGCTCACCTGGAGATAGGTCTTCAAGTTTTCTTTCCCAGATGCGTTGATGGTGCTCCACCAGGGCCTTCCTCATCTCTTCGGTCTTCCTTTTCAGGTCTCTTCTGTGTTCTGACTCTCCTGTTTGTTGAGCTAGTCTTCTTACCCTGTACTGATCGGTCAACTGGATGGGCGTGCGGTTTTATAGGCGATCGGTGGACTGGGGACTGAGCTGTCTGGTGGGGGTACTCTGGGTCTCTTAAGCGACGTGGTTTTGATGCTGTGTTTTTTAGAATTGGGAACCACGTTTCGTCTAAGCAAGGTCTTCTGCTTTCCTATTGAAATTATCCTTGTATATGTAGATTTCAATTGCTTCTCTGTACATTCGGGCTGAGTAGTGGGTGGATGTTTATAAGACTTCCGTTTGGTCGAACAGAACATTGTGGCCACTCCAAGACGGCGGGCGTGTTCGCCACCGCTGATTTATCAGTTTGTCCCTGTCGACAGATTCTTTCGTGCTCCTTAATCCGTGTTTAAAAGCTACTTTTAGTTGTGCCAACGTATACTTTACCACAGGAACACAGTAAGTACTTTGTATACACCGGCACCGCTCGGGGGGGGGGGGTCCCTAGGGTGTTTTACTGATGTTAAGAGTTGCTGGATTTTATTTATAGAAAGTGTAGAAAGGATACTCCCGAAGGTGGTTCCTTGTCTCCTGCCGGCGGTCTGCTTTTTTGTCGTGAAACCTTTTCTATTTGTTCCCTGCGATAGCCGCTTGCTTGTAAAACGATGTTAACATGATCCAGTTCTCCCTGCATGCTCCAGCATCACATCGGTCACAGCTAGTCGTATGTCAAGGACTTCAAGGCACGGGTATCATGTATCTTGAAAAGTGACGTTATATCGATTTTTTTGTCACGGACCACCCAGCCTCACAAAGCATATGCAACCAATAATGTGTGTAGTTTAGTTGAGTGATTCCTCCATAGATGGACGTTCACAACTATCCTAGTGAGCAAACGTGGAATGACTTTTTGCGCTCTAAAAACTACCTTGTCTGCAAGTTGACATCTTATAAGTTTTTTTTGGCGTTTTATATGTTTTTTACATGATACCCGTGCCGATTTCATAAGAAAGGTGCAGAACATCCGCCTCATGGAGTACGACATTTTGGTCATCTTTGATGTCGTGTTACTTTTCACAAAGACTCACATTAGACCTATCACTGAATAACCTAAAACAAGTTTTTCCAGAGGATATCCCGACATTGTTCCGGTACACCCTAACACCTACATATTTCCAGTAGAACAATCAATTTTATGAACAAACTGTCGGTGTTGCAATGGGAAGTCCGCTAAGCCCGGTAATAGCCAATTTCTACATGAAAAAGTTCGAGGAAGCGGCACTGAACACCGCCCCCAATCGTCGTTGGATACGGTATGTGGATGATACCTTTGTGGTATAGAGCCACAGAAGAACAGCACTAGCAGTGTTCCTAAATCACCTTAACCGCATTCACCTCAAAATCAAATTCAAAATGGAGATATCTGGACGTATTGGTGGTCAGACGAAAGAACTTAAAGCTGGGTCACAGAGTTCACCGCAAAGCAACAAACACTGACAGATATCTACACAAGGACTCCAACCATCATCCTGGACAAAAAAGAGGTGTCATTAAAATCTGAGGGTACACCGAATTTGTGAACCTCAATACCTGCAGGGGAAACTGGATCATGTAAACATGGTTTTACAAGCAAACGGCTATACTGATAAATCAGCGGTGGACAAACACGCACTCCGTCTTGGAGTTGCGACAATGTTCTGTTCGACCAAACGGAAGTCTTATCAACATCCACCCTCTACTCAGCCCTACTGTACATAGAAGCAATTGCAATCTACAAACACAAGGATAATTTCAATAGAAACAAAAACAAAACGTGGTTCCCAATTCTAAAATATACAGCACCAAAACCACGTCGCTCAAGGGACCCACACAGCTCAGACCTCAGTCCGCCGATCGCCTATAAAACCGCACGCCCATCCAGGGCATCCAGTTGACCTTGATCGATCAGTTTCAGTTCACTCGCCAAACCGAGCACTTCGCTCTCGACGACAGCGCCACTGAAGATGGCTACCGCAGATGTGTAGCTGAAAGCTCTGGAGAAAATACAGCCCGACCCCCCAGCTGAACAGCCCGAAAAACCTAAATGACATACTACTAATGTTTTAAATAATAATTCAAATAAAATTTGAGTAGATGTACCTAAAAATAATGGAGTTTGCTATTTTGTTGAAAAACACTTAAAATGATAGTCTGTGTACAGCACTGAAAAATATCTTGAATATCTTAAAAAATGGCAAAGTTACCCTACCATAAAGTTTCTTATTTGGAGAATTGTCTGGCTGGAGTACATGCCACCAGCCACCACGGGCTATTTACAAACGTTGTTCTACTCTGTGTTTACGATTTACGGTAAGATCAGGTCCAACCTTCAACTTATAAACAATATAGAAGTTGTACAAATACAAGCATATCGGCTCCAGAAAAACATGTTTTATCTAGGCCAAAACATAGAAGGATTAGAATGACCTCTTTCAAACATGTCCGCCATTTTAAATCCGCCGCTCGAAAACGTAGATATGGATTTTATAAATAAATATAAATTTAGAGAATCTTTCTAATTTTGGTGATATTTCGGAATTTTTGAACATCGGCCCGTGTGGGCTTATTATATCCACCTTTGGTAGAATAGTGGAATCGGCACGCAGAAAATCATGTGTTTTATTGTACACCTATAATATCGCACAGCAATGAATGCCAAGATTCAAACAAAAACACAACATGCCCAAAAGTGAGATTATACAGGTCCGTATTTTCCTCAGTGGTCTCGGAATAATCTAACAAAATAAATGATTATTTTCATAGAAAGAAGTGCACATACTTTTCACATTTCTTTATTCGCTAGAAGTACTTGAATCAACGTCCGATTGTTTAGTATTAATTATTACAGGTTCAATTTAAATATCGATCCCAGATCTTTGTTTCGATTGTCTCTTGAACGTGACGGATGTAATCTTTCCAGTGGTTTGCCGTCACTCTGTTGACAGCTTCATGAAACAAATTTTCCACGTCAGAAAATTTGAAAGTTCTATTGTTTGAAGCCACATAGTTTTAATATTTGCTCACATCATTTCAATGGGATTTAATTCGCAGTAATAAGGGGATAATCTTAAAATGGTCTAATTTTGGTTTTTAGCCATTTCGTCAATAAAATTAAGATTATATTTATATTTATGCTGCCTGGCTAGATGGGTAAGTTGTGCTTTGACCATATTTCCATTGGAACTAATGTCTTTCCATTGTTGAATTTCTGCCTTTCTTGTGGCCAATGTGAAAATTTTTTCTAGTTTTCTAGTGTGGTGTGCAGCATTATCAAGTACAATGTCGGCATTGTCTTGGGAGCGTTCCTTCAAACCATCGTTCAAATTAAGTCCCGTCCATTTCTTCATGGTAGTCGGTAGTTTTCTTTGACTCAAATGCCCATAGGGTTGTAGTAGTAGTATTCAAGAAAACTAATAATAATACAAGCTGAGTATCAAACAGGTGTTGGTTTCAAATCTATCAGATATAGCTAAGTTTAATGTAGCCAAGTTTTCAGCGTGGGCTCATAGATTCAGACTACTTGACACCATTTTTACAGCACAAATGACGAACTGGTTAGATACACGTACCTGAGAGATTCTTCAGGCCCGTGGTTAGTCCATATAAGAAGGCTTGTCTTGCTGATTAATTGTAGAGTCAGCCGATACTTTAGGTTTTGTATATCCTGCATTTATCCAGGTTTCATCCAAGTAATAAGTCTTCCTGTCCTGGCCGCGGTATTTCTATATTGATTTTAAATAATTATTTTTTTCTCCATAAAATAATCTCTTGGCTGTCTATCAAAATACTATTTCTGCCCCGTTTTCTATACTCAAAATAAAATTCTTGAGTAAACTATAGAATGTGGCAGTAGTACGTAAGTCTTCATCACTATTAACCTCCTGTAAATACTTTGTCTACGGTGGGAAGTTCCTGCCTTTCAAAAAGGGTGATGGACTTTGCGTCTGATGGCATTCCGATCAAAGTTATCAACTGTATCCAACAGCTTCGTGTAATGCAGCCTCTTGTGTTGTGGAGGCAATTTTTTGTTTTTTTTTATATTCTATAACAATGTTGAAAATTTTCTTAGGACATATGCCTGTTTTGTTCGCCATACGTCTTTCAATATCATGAATTTCCATTTCAGGATGCTCTGAAATTTCGCTCTTATAAACGTAAAGGACAATTTCTTTTGCCTGAATATTCAAATGTCCCTTCTTGTCACGTTCGTCCGCGTCAGTGCCGTGACCCAGAAGACGAGCTTTTGTAATGTGATGTCACCGCCCAACCCCGACGTACGCATTATGGGAATAGTTCTTTCAGGTTCAGTTATACAGGGTGTTTGGTGCATCGTTTGCCAAATTGAAATGGCGGACAGGGGAGATCTTTTTCTATCACCCCAGGGCCCTCAAACAGTTTTTAGCCCAACTTTATTAAATATGTAGATTTTTTATTTTTTTTTTAGTAAAAACCCCAAAATGTAATACACAAAGTAAAATAAAAAAAATAAAGAGTATGTCCACGGAAACTGACAAAACAACAACAGTCACAGGTCGCGGCACTACGTATAAGTAACAAAAGCGTTAGGCAGCCAGCAGGGACGAAGCTCGATGGAACAGTGGACCCACGTCGTCCCTGTCGGTTAGCCGCTCAACTAGTAAAAGAGAGAGACAGATGATACTGCTCCGCTGTGTACGAGGGAGACAAAAGTTTTTACCTGAGTTACCTTGCACGTGTAAATTACACAACAGAAACAAAAATTCATTGTTATCCAAACGAAAAATTTGACACTGTACACAAAATTTGCAAATTCAAGAAAGTGTTTCAACCTTTTTGTGACTTGTGGCATACCGTTAGAATCGGGATAAACTAGAGTAGTTTTTAAAAGAATTCTAAGAACGTGAACGCTTTTAGTTTTTTTTTTTACAGAAATTCAAAATTGAGACTTACATTTTTTTGTTCTTCTTTGTAACCTTTTGCGAGTTTATAAATAAAAAACTACATGCTGCTGACAATTAATGTTGATTTTGTAATATTGGTACATCACTCATTCAGATAGATTAATCTTTAAGTGGACATACTCTTTATTTATTTTTTTTATTTCACTTTGTGTATTACATTTTGGAGTTTTTACTAAAAAAAATTAAAAAATCTACATAATTAATTCCTTTGGGCTAAAAACTGTTTGAGTGACCTGGGGTGATAGAAAAAGACCTCCTCTGTCCACAATTTCAATTTGGCAAACGATGCACCAAACACCCTGTACTATTGTATGCAAGTGAAGCTAGCAGTATTTCCGACTATGGGAAACTTCATAATTATCAAATCGAGAACAGCGTAAATCATGTGATTTCATCTGAGATACCTTATTTGTAACTGGTGTCACAGGCAAGCTTCTCCTTGGCATAGACGAGTTTTGCTTCAACTTCGAAGATGAAGGATCATAGGAACTGAAAGAAACAATAGTAATTTATTTTAGTTAGAATTTGTTTTCTGCTATAGCGACGCGAAACCAAGTTTATTTGTTCTAAAGTAGTTTGAGTATTCTGTATCAGTTTTTGATGTTTTAGAACCCGCTGATTCTGGCAAAACATTAATTTCTAGGGCTTGAATAACTACTATGCTTCACCACTTCATAAATCTGAATAAATGAAGGAAACAATAAAATTTATTATTTTTCAATAGTGAACTCCACTCCTACTTACCCTAAACTTATCCTGGAAGAAGGGAATTTTATATCTTTTTTATTCAGACAGCTGCCTTGTTTAATATTTTTGTTAGCACTGTTTGGAGCCAGTGGTCGTTTAGAAGTTGCAGGTCGTCTGGAAATGATTTGATATATTTATGAAACAATACAACATAGCAGATATTTACGATGGAACAGTTGACTGAAGCCTCGATGTGGCATTATTTTCATTCCCAAATGTTGGCGTAGAGGAAGCCAAAGGTTTAGGCTTTGAATCCTGAAATACAAAAATCATTTTTATTAACATTGCAGTAGATAATCCGCTTATTCAATTGAAGAAACACTCTGTACCGAGACACCAGATCACTTGACCCTGGAGTCAAAGGTTTTTGCATCAGTCCTGACTGTGGTTAAAATAGGTTGGCCATGAAGTTTGTAGTGAGCCCCGACAAGCATCGAACACGACTATAAAAGTAGATAAAAGGGAACGCATGTTTTATTTGTATTCTCTATCGATTACTTATGTAAATACAGAGTCCGTCAGAAAGAACGCATGTTTTTCGAATGAATGGGTACTGCATCGAGTGGGCTGGTCCCGTGTTGGTGGGAAAGGACGGGTTGGATAGTGGGAGAAGTGCCGTTTCAGTTGGCAAGATGGTTTGAAACATAGAGCATTGTGTGTTCACTGTACGTCGGTACTTTCAAAATGGCGAGTCTGTCGTTCGAACGCAACGTGAGTTTCGTGTTCACTTTTTTGTTCCACGTCGTTGGACGGTACCAGACCGGAACACCATTTTGAGATGGGTGGAAGCATTCAACACAACAGGTAATGTGATGAAGAAAAAACGGCCAGTGCGAAACCGTACTGTTAGAACCCCCGAAAACGTAGACAGAGTGAGAGTTGACACGCGGCAAAGCCCGAATCGTTCCGTCCGTTTGCGTGTCCGTTCCCTAGGGATCCACGTGTCCTCTGTACGTCGCATCTTGAAGAAGGATTTAGTGTTCCATCCTTACAAAATCCAAGTTTGTCAACAACTGTTGCTAGGGTATTATGCACAACGTGTTAATTTTGCACAGGTTCATGATTGAACAGTTGGATAACAATGACATGACGTTGTTTATGAGTGATGAAGCACATTTTCATTTACATGGATACGTCAATTGTCGATATTGGTCTCCCGTGAAACCCCAATAGTTGCATGAGCACCCCCTGCATACCCCGAAAGTTACAGTTTGGCGTGCAGTAGGCCCAATGATGAGTATTGACCCTTATTTTTTTGAGGATGATGGAGCAACAACTACTGTGAATTCAGAGCGTTACATCCACATGCTGAACAACTTTTTTTCCGGAACGTGTCCGTCTCAGAACAGTGTCAACATCTCACACAGCTTACACAGGACGTCTCATTTCACGTCATGGCGATATTCCATGGCCCCCTCGCTCCCCGCACCTGTTAACGTGTGATTTTTTTTATGGGGCTACCTGAAATCGAAAGTTTAACAAAGCAAGCCGCGGACCCTCGTCGATTTGAAGGAGGAAATAAGAAGAGAGGTAAACCAAATTCCTGCACGGATGCTGGCGGACGCAAGAACTACCATTTTGCCCAAATATTATTAGTTTCTTTTATTTACCCAGATTACAAAGATTTATCTTTTTCCCACTTGCGATTTAAAGAATACAATTCCGTAACATTAGGACCAACATTTTTTTTTTAGTTTTTTGGTTATTAATTGGTCGATTCATTTCCATTATATTATGTAGCTTGGGAATAAATAAGAGCGATAGAAGATGCTTGCCATTGGGCCAAAATGCTGGTGCCAAGCCAATAGCGTTGCGTTTAGATATTTTAAATTTGCCTCGTATGTTTCCCATTGTTTATTTACTCGTAATTTTATAGCATTCAAGTATATCATTCTGTGGCAATATAGACTGCAAATAAAAATAATTAACCGATATTTGAATCACATGCATATTGCCCTATTGAGAAGTGGAAAAGATCCCATTTGCTTCAAATGCTGGAAACAGGAAAAATCATCAGTGCTCTTTCTAATCAGGTATATTGTGTATCAAGGCCTTAGGACTGAAATATTCAATATTACAATTTGGCAGACGGTTTATGCATCAGACTGGTCAGACACTGTCATCTTCATTTAAAGGCCTGGCAGATTCTATATAAAGTTTTTACCCTAAATGGGCAGTTAGCTTATAAAAATTAGCGAAAATAAGCTTACCTGTGGAGTCTTAGCTTTTTTCATAGATGAAGCAACACCAGACCTTTCAGGCGTGACACTTGATCCTGCAAATAGCATTGCATTCAGTTAATATATTAATTTGGCGCTAAGCACATTGCAATGTCTAATACAAGTAATGGAACAACTCTGTATTTTTTTTTTAAAAAGGTCTTGGTTAAGCCTATACCAACCATAGAAATGGTGACCTTGAATTTGACCTTGACCCTCAAGGCCATCTTTTTGTTTCAATGGAAATTTCGCTTGTTGACACCGACAGTCGCAAAAACGAAAAACTTTACGTCCGAATATGTATTAAAATCTAAGATCAGTCTTTAACACCGGCATGAGAAAATTTACATTATAATAAATATACTCATGTACCTTAAGGGTGATGCTCAAAATTAAATTCAAGGTCATCATTTCACTTTTGTTCAAAGTTAGTAAAGACCTAAGCTAAACCTTTTTCAGAAGTACCTTATCAGGAAAAATAAACAGGAGTTCAGTTAATATTGTTACACCAGGTATGTATATAAAATTGTATTATAAAACAAATATTTATCTATCCCATGTTATGCAAATAAAATTATTGATGTGAATAATCTCATCCACCTTGAAAAAAAACAATCAAGTTTGGTTTATAATACTGAATATCTTTAAGGCCTTTGCAACCAGGTTTATCATTTTATTGTGATATTGTTCACTTTATATCAAAGATATATTGATCTAATAAATATAAAATGACCTGGCAAATATCATACAGTCTGTTACCACCAGTGTTACATAACCAGTAATCATAGTATAAATGACAATTTGATATGATTTATTAGCGGATTTTGAGGGGAGCGACCCTCCTAGACGCCCAAGTGTACCATTTTTTTTTTCAAGAAAATGGTACATGAATATTACGGTATCTTAGTGTAAAAATTATGTTGCTACACCTGAATAGTACAACCCCTAATTACTGTGGTAAGATCGCATTACCATCAGGAGCCAAGTAAAATGGCTTTGGATGGGCGGTCATTCCAGAAAACCAGTTTGATTCAAAGGGTGAAAGTAGCCAAAAAAAAAAAAAAATTTTTCTCTACGATGTTTATAAGAATTTTCTACAACCCCAAAGAGAAAGTAGTGTGAATTACCTCGTTTCATATCCCTAACAGGTATAACAGCCTTTAATGGACCCTTCTGGGTAGTGATGCTTGGTTTGCCATTCTGCTTTTGTGTTTTCCTTAAGCTAACACATGGAGGACTTGGCTTGATAACATTTATCTTCACCGTCATTTTGCTGCTCACTTTGCTAACTATGGTCTCTTGTGCAGCACCTTTCTGATCACCAGCATTGGTATTTATAACAGGTTGAGAATTGGAGCGATTCAAGATCTTTACAGAGTCTGGGATAGCAGACAAGTTTAATGGTTTATTCGGAGATGTTTCTAGTTTAGGAGCCTCACAGCTTTTTCTGCTCAGATCAAGCACCTCATAAACCTCATATTTTTCTTTATCGAAGGATTGGGAGTATTGTTTTGTACAATTTCCAGAATCATTGATAGGGTAAATTGATGGAACCTCTTTAGGTGATCTTGAAGTATCCAACTTTGTGTTAGATAGAATTTCTGAAAGTTGTAGTATCAACATTTGTCCCTTTGACTTCTCTTCAGCACTAATATTAGATTTATTCAATATGTCCGAGATGTTTTGTAAAGCTTTTTCTGGAGTAAGCTCACATGTATCTGGTTGTACAATATTTCCTACTACTTGGGTAACTTTTGTTTGCCTGTTTTCTTCAGGATGAGATGTAACTGAACCAGTTGCTTTTTGGTTTTGCATTTGTGATGTTACTGGTATTTTTATGTCAATTTCTTTAAATACATCTTCTCTGTGCAATTTAGCACTTTCTCTGCTACTATTTTCTAAATCACTTGGCCAATCCGGTTGCGGTGTACAATCTAAATATACCATGTCATGATCCTTTGCAATGCAAGCTGAACAAAAGAATAAAAAATAAAGATGACTGTTGATGATATATTTCAGAATAATCATTTGCAATAATTAGACTTTTGGAAGGAATTACTAAACTGATGAGAAATGTGTCAAGATAATCTTTCTGCCGCCACACATAATTTGACTTATACCAGGCCTCTCCAACTCGAGCACTTGGTGCTGGTGCGCTCCGGTGCTGAACCCAGCGGCAACGGTGCCGTTCCACCTGCACCTCGACCGCACAGCCGTCGCGACAGAGAGAAACATATTAGCCGACTGTCGGGCGCGGGATATTTCTTAATAGGACAAAACAAAGTGGACAGGTGTTTTAGCGTCTTAACGTGCATATTTTTTTAAACGATGTCATTTAATCCTGCATGGAATAAGCCTATATTTTCTAAATACTGATGGAAAAGCAAAATGTTTAATTTATCACACGGTATTGAGGCCAGCTCTTCTAAGTTCTGAAGAGGTAATTATTAATTTGGTCGTAGTTGATTATTATTAATGGTGTCGTAATGCAAGTTATATTGTTGCTTTGAAAATCGCAAAAAGTGGGAGGCCATTTACCGACGGTGCACTTGTCAAAGAATGGAGTGTGCAGAAATATTGTGCCCATCTCCTGTAAGCCAATTAGTCCGAGCAAACAATTTCTCGTCGGATACTTGAACTTGGTGCATATTTAAAAGAACAACTGCGGGAAAATGTGCCCATTTTGTGCAGTATTCTACAGCTCAAGATGAAATTAAAGACATTTCTGACACGGCAGTTTGAAGTATTTTTCATTTTACGGTGACATACCCTTTTATTGTGTTACGCGCTAGTTAAGCTGCGCAAAAGTGCTGAAGATTTTTTTTTTGAAATCATTGACGACGTTGAGATGTTTATGCAAATGAGATTTTTACGACGCCATCTTCAGTGCTTTTCGAAACAGAACGCCGCAGTTCCAAATGGAGCTGATTAAGCTTCAATGCGATACGATCCTTAAGGATAGATACAACCACTACAATAGTAATTTAATTTCGTTTTATCAAGGTGTTAAGCAGAAAGATTTTCCCAAAATTCTTGCACTGGCCTTGGAAACTTGCTCCATGTTCGGTAGAACGTACTTCTGCGAGCAGATGTTTTCTTTAATAAATTTGCACAAAACTATAAACAGGTCTCTGTCTGATGTGTCCTTAGAGGCGATACTCAGAATTTCCACTGCTCAATCCACTGTACCAAATATTAGAAAACTTGTTGAATCGAAACGCTGTCAAAGATCATCTTAAAAATAAATGTGTTTACGTCGAAATTATGAACATTATTTTATCACCTGCGCGTTGACTCGATCAGACCAATTCAAATGTCAATACGAATGTCACTCCACTCATTTTCCGTTGGGGCTGGAAGCCGGCGAAATTAAACCTTATCGCGGATTCGACTAAACTTAGTAATAATATGTAGTTTTTAAGTAAATGAACAAAAAGGGCTTGGTATGCCGATGAAAGTACCTTTCATATCCACTTGAAGATACAACGTGACGGTAGGACTTTACCATAACCTATACGTATATCAAGGGTCATGACGTTTCATATTAATTTTACATATACTTTCAAGCACCTACTAGCCTGGTGTCAAACTGACAGACTCAAATGAGCTTTTAAATGCAAGCATGAAGCATTCAAACAGGATGTATTATTTTTATCTATTTGCATTGCCTGCTATAGCTTTCAGTCGGTACGACAGAAACTTCTGGCCATGTTTTTCGAAATGAGCCTAAAATTTCCATCAAACCTTGTAGGCTTCATTGGATTCGGTGATGACAGTGAAATTCTCTCGTCACGCTGTATCTTTATGTCGGTATGACAGGTCCTTCTGTCAGGATGTTATTGAGCTCTTCTTATTCATTTACTTAAAAACTAGATATTATTACTAAATTTAGTCGAATCCGCGATGAAAGAAAACTCAATGCCACCAGCTCTCAGGTTATTTCTATTCGCAGGGTGCTACGGTTAGCACAACATCTTCCTCGCGATGCGTATGCCGCTGCCTAATCTCTCCCCCACCTTCACGGAGTCACCCCGCAGCACTGTGCTGCGAGCGGTGCTCGGCGCTGCACTGGTTGCACCTGAGTTGGAGAGGCCTGACTTATACTATGCTATTAAAGGGTGATCCATCTGTTGGTTAATTTTTTAATCGATGGTTAAAATGAAAACGCAGAGTTCTTTTTCCAAACGGGTTTTTTTCATTTGAGAGTACTATCCTTCCAGTTAATGATGAAACACAATCTCATTCATATGCGCACTATGACTGAGCTTGACGTAGCCGATTCTGTCGACCCAATTTTTCAGTAGATTTTCCAAAGTCTGCGACATTATATCACCAATGACTGCATTTAACTTTTACACTTCCCCACAAAAAAATAATTCAACTGAGTTAAATCGCAGCTTCGCGGTGGCCAAGTCACATCACCAAAACGGCTGAATAAGCGATTTTCGAACTGTTCTTGAAGAAGAGCGATTGTTTCGCGGCTTGTGTGGCACGTCGCGTCGTCTTGCTGGAACCATACGCCATCCAAGTCTTTTTATCAGTTTCCGGAAAGAAATAGTCAGTCAACATGCTCCGATAGCGCACACCAATGACCGTGACGACATATTCGAAAAAAAAAAAAAGCGTCAATAATGCTAATAAACCACAAAGCACACCAAACTGTTACGCGTGACGGATGCATTGGCTTTTAGGTAATTTCATTTGGCTATTCTGAGCACCAAATATGACAATTTTGCTTATTGACGTAGCCACAAAGATGAAAATGGGCCTCATCCGAAAAAATGATTTTTCGGTAAAAATGGACGTCCTCGTCCAAGCGTCCAATTTTGAGCGCTTCCCAACGTTGTTCAAGCTTATATCGATCCATATTCGTTCACCGCAGACTCTTTACTAAATTCCTAACAAAACAGAACTGACGTAAGTGTTGCCAACCGTGAGATAAGTCCTAGTTCAAAAATTAAGCAAAAGATGGTTCACCCTTTACTTTTCAAAATTTATTAAATGTAGAACATATTGAATTTGAATATCTTCTATGTAAAATTCCTAAAATCCTAAAAATACACACTGAAAATATGTTTCCATTTTGGATTGTTTTTACTAATGAAGTATTTCAGAATCATATAAAATCTTAAATCATCACGAAATTACTCAATAAAAAACTTACAAAGGTCTCCAATTGTTTCATCATCATTAGCATATGGACTGGATTTGAGTTTTTCTGTAAAAACACTGTCATTCTGCAAAAAATGATGTATCATTAATATTACCCTCCAAATTAAAAACATATACTATTAGCTCATATTCAATAGATTTGATTAACTTACCACATCAGTCATCAAACCGTTTGATGATTGATTCTCACTTAGTGTGTAAATTGCCCTTGTTGATAAAGCTGCAGCTGCAGAGTCAGATTTTATTAACCTTCTTGGTGTTATTAGTCCAGACTAAAATTGTGAATTTCCAAAGAACTAGTTACTAAATCCAATGCAATTTGTTATCTTTATTGAGTGGTACTATTATTTCATACTTACCATTTTTGTTTTCACCCTTTAAGAGTTTCAGTTTTAAATCTATTTTTTTCATTAATTACATATTAGGTACAAATAGATAATTGATTGTTAAAACAAGCTTGAACTACACAAAGGGGTTTGACAAGTTTTAGTTGTCAAAGCATTCCTAAATGACAGCTTGAGCCAGTTTTGTTCTCACAAGATTGTACTTTGCTAATGAAAAATGCTATTAGTACAAGTAACTCAGCACATCTGGTAATATTATTCCACTGCACTAGATTGCCATGCACTATAATTACTCATTGTTGGACTATAGTTGTGGTCACCGTTCTTGGCGGGTCAAAGTAAGACTACTAGTATCCCTTTATACAGTATAGTTGCCAAAATTATAGCAAATCTGATTTTTAGTAATATTCAACAATAAGAGAATATTTATATTTTATTGGTGGAAATATGCCCCTGCATAAACTCACTACTCAAAGAAAATGGTACCTCCAAATAAAGATAAGGTTATTTATTTTTTTGCTGACAAACGAATGTATTTGCTAAATACTTTGCCTGGCCATAAATATAGCAACGCATTTATTCATGTTGGTTCATTCCGTCCAAGTACGTTCTTGAAAAAGTTTTTATTGTGATCTCCTAGTAGTACTTAAAGTATTTAAATAACAATATGGGCCTTGATCCAACAGTATCTGTTGATCTAAGGCAACTAATAATAAATCAGTATAAGTCAGGAATCAAACTGTGATCCATTGCAAAAAAATTCACTCAACAGATTGTATCAGTTTAGTGAAAAGATATAATAGACCAGCGCTAGTAGTACCCAAAAAAAATTCTGGACGTCCCCGAAAAACTTCCAGAAGAACTGATACCATGATTACTCGAATATCTAAGAAAAATCCGTTTTTGGCTTCATCCAAAATTAAAGGGATTATGGAGGATCCGGATGTTCTAACCTTAGTGAAAGATCCATAAGACGACGCCTTTGTGAACTAAAATTATTTGGCCGCAGACTGCCGAAGAAGCCTCTTCTATCCAAAAAGAACGTGATGGCCCGACTCGTATTTGCACGCAAGCATCAGAGCTGGTTTGCTGATCAGTGAGATCGAATTATTTTTAGTGACAAATCTAAATATAACTTATTTAAAAGTGATGGTGCTGCATATGTTCGACGTCCTAAAGGTAAAAGGATTGCCCCTTGGTACACTTCTCCTACAGTGAAGCATGGTGGTGGTTGTTTTAGTGTGGGGTTGTTTTTCAGGGTATGGGATAATAGGTCGAATTGTGTACAGGGAATGTTACGTTACTCTATTCAGAGGAAACTATGCTGTTGTTACATCAATTTCAACATGATAATAACTATAAACATTCTTAGAAACTGATAACAGGTTTTCTTCAGGAAGAAAAAATTAATGTTATGAAGTGGCCATCCCATTCCCCAGACCTGTATCCCATAGAAAATCTTTGGGAAATTGTGGACAACATAGAAGCAGAATATTCAAAAATAAACATGAACTTTTCGAATATCTTCAGGATGCTTGGTCTTCAGTCGATCAATATATTATAAATAATCTTATTTTATCCATGCCAAAAAGATGCCTTGAGGTAATAAGTGTGAAAGGATACCACACCAAATATTAATCAATATTAGTGTTATATTATCTCAAGTTTGTAGAATAAATAAATGTATTTATCTAAAATATGTTGCTATAATTTTGACCAACTAGTTTCCAAAAAATACATCACAACTTTTGTATTTGTTTCAGGAAATATCAAAAAGTAGATGTGAATGAAAGGTATTTTAAAGACTATAATTATAATATAATGTTAAAAGAAAAAATCTAAAACATCACATATTTTCATGGAAAAATGTATTTGTTGCTATAATTTTGGCCACTACTGTATATCTTCATCTCCCTCATACATATACATGCAACCTACTCCTGTGTGTGAATGTATGTTTGGTAAGCTCAAAGACATACATTTTTTAGTTGTGTGTCTTTGAGTAAAAAACTTTGGGTTACATATGACTGTCCTTCAATCATATTTGTCAAGAGTGACAACTTACTTGACACTGGCGTGCAATTTGAGTTGTCCTGTTATCAATCTTTATTATACAATTCGTACTAAATTTATTAGTCTGCTCAGAGTTCCAGCCATGGCACAGAGTCTTGATCTGTCTACTTATTTCATAAGGTCATTGATGATGTAACTGCCAAGAACGGTGACTACAACACTATATACATTTTATGTGATTCTAAAATCGAAATAGGAGACCTTATAAAACACCTTATTTACCTGTGATCCAAAAACATCTAATCCAGCAGATTTGTTGAATATATGAGCAGTATTCAATCTCTCAATAATATCTTGTTCATCATTTAGGGGATTTAAAGATGATTCACCAAATGATATATCTAGATTTTCTATTTTAAGTATGCCTAGACTTTCTTTGCCACTTAATGAATTTCTCATATAATCTAATTGAGACAGAGAATGCCTGAAATTGTCTTTTGAGCTTTCCTTCATAGTTTCTATACTGTTGGTGAATTTTCTTAGTTCAATTTCAAAATCTGGGAGCATGAATCCTGGACTTTCCTTCCACACATCTTGGCTGTCCAGTGATGGAAAGTGATAATTCATTGTATCCACATCTTTGAATGGTAATCCTGGGATAAGAGCCTACAAAAATGTCAAAAAAGTATGAAGATAGATCACCAGATACTAGTACTTTGAACTACAAAAAAGCTGAAAAATAAACATAACTCACCAAGTTTTTATCGAAATCTGGGGGAAGACATCCTAAAGATTCTTTTCCTGCATCAATGAATGACTGAAGGTTCTTGAAATCGATATTTTTCGGGTCTTTGAAGTTCTGTTTATCCATTTCAAATATTGCAAACTTAGACCATATTTGTTATTTCACTAAAATCATTGCTACTGATGCTCTTTTTTTGCTCTGGTAACACAAAAAAACATTTATTAGCACTGTTTATAATCTCAAGACAACTTTCATTACGGTTAATAAAAAATTCACGGTCAAATTTCAAAATAACCGTTAACGGCAAAAAGCACAAAACATATATAGCAAAAAGATCACAATTCACAAACAAATGACAGTTGAAAACGACGTATGCTGAAACCTTGCTGTAACGTGTACGTCGGACTACGTCGCGGGGAATTATCGTACAAACACGTCAAAATTATCCTACATTATCCTCTACACCGTGGCTGAGGTTCTCTCATGATGAAGGAGGGGGGGGGGGGCCTTTTGTTTCCCACTGTTTCCTATAAGCTTGCTGTCTATGTTTGGTCTTCTTCAAAGATTCGAGAGTATCGCATCTTTTGTTGTGCTTCTCTCTTCCAGAGCAACTTGATTCGGAATCCGACATATTATCGTTATTGAATTGAAACCGGTTAAATATCGAAAATAACTGAAAACTGAAAACGATCTTTTGATTTTTAAGTTTCAAAAGTCATAAAAACGGGAGACGTCGCATTCATTTCATCTAATGCACATGGGTAAATAAAAATATGTGCGTCATGTCAATACACAGAACGTGAGAACTGTATGGAAATTTTTCCTGTTGATCTTTGCCGAGATAGTCCGCGTAATGCTAGGCAACCCATTATACAGAGTGGGGTACGCGCGCTTGTCTACCAAGCGGCAACACTGACAGTGGGACCAGCATGTGCTGTACTTGAGAAAAAAAATAGATTTTGATGATTTACAAAGCAAATGTGGTGCCCCTTTTGGTATATGGCATATTTGTGTGGGATGTACGGTTCAAATCTTGGGCAGCTAAAAGTGGTGCAGAACCGTATTGTAAGGATTATTCTAAAAAAGCCTAGATTGTATCCCACTATGCAAGAAATTAACAATATTAAAATCTTATAAATATATCCTTGCGGCATATGTAGTTTTTTTTTCTGTACATGCAAATAAGAAAAAAGTTAATGTTTCGTTTAAAATGATCTGTTGGGAAAATCGTGGACAATTTATGCGTTTATTTTAAGTTGCTTTCAGGTAGGATGATCTGTCTATTTGTTTCTTCCCTTTTTTGTGATAAACTTGTGATACGTTTTTTCTGATGTTTACGTAAATGCCCAAAGGAGATTGGGTGGTGGAAAAACGCCTGACTAAATTCCAACCAATGACGACGCAGAAGGAATAGCGGTACCGGCGCACGTACCGGCGTACTGCACGCTGCGGGCTAACGTGCGTCTGTTCCGTTCTCGGTTGGCGTTTGAGGTGCGTGGTGCGCCGAGCTGTCTTCAGATCAATTAGATAAAATCATCATAATGTAAACGTTTTCTATTTTTGGAGATATTGCCACTTTCAAGTCTTTCTTATTACACATGTGTAGCACTAAACACAAGGAGCAGTACTAAATTAATCCTGCGCGTGCGGTGCGCAGGTACCACCTCTGTTTCTTGTGGTGACATAATGCTACCACCGAACAATGAATGTGAGAGCGAGATAGTCATGCAATAACATGTTTAGGTCGTTTCATTCCCTTGTCATTTGGTTACAAAAGATGGCTGCACTTATCTTTTATTTGCAGTATTTCGCAAGTATTACGACTTCAGTGATAAAACTTGGGGTTATTCTATTGTTAGTAGAAAGAACCTACAATTTTTATACTATTTTTAAAAGAGCATTACACATTGAAACAAAATGTAACAATTTATTTTTTTTAGCATACCATGCTAGTTTTCAATAAAATGAATACTCGGTTATCTCAACCTATTATTAATTGTAGGTCAGGAATGAATTATGTATATGTTAGAAGTGTCAATATTTCGAACACTAGAAAACTTCCACTAAGGTCATGTTGATTTTACCTGATTGATCTGAAGCCAATCTACCTTCCATGTCACTCTGATATGTTATTTCTGGGACACCCTATATTTGTGTTGTCACATGATTGTAACGGTTATCTCACGGAAGATCTGCTTTAGTAGACCTTATGCAATATTAGGATAATTAATAAACAGTAGTAAAAACTAAAAAAGAGTGTGTAATAAAAACTAAGCTACAAAAACCCAAAAGTTTTTTTTTTCTTATGGAACTACCTGTCTTTATAGTTTATACTGTTAAACAATAAAAATATAGCTTTCTGTAAGATTGTCGCTAAATAGTGGTTTCGGAAATGTTCGTTTTTCTTTTGCCAAAATGCTCCATAAGGACAAGGATACAAATACAAGAAGATAAAGTGATTATTTACTATCTGACGACAATTTTCATTTTCATATTTTGATAATTTATTGGCAGTGGCTCATCGTTGGTAACTACGACCTCCACGGACATGCAAGGGGTATTTTCCATGTGGGTGCGAACCAGTTTTAATAAAATGTGCTAATATATTATACCGAACTATTTTATTTATACAGGGTGTCCCAGAAATAACACGCTACAGTAACACGAGGGATAGATCAATCAGATAAAATCAACATGACCTTAGTGCTTTCTAGTTTTCCAGATATTTCCACTTTTAAGTTTTTTCAAAAAAATCCCTACGTTTTCCTTCTTTTTTGCCCGTTATGGCTATAACCTTTTATAGCATGCGAAAACGCTCGATAGATTAATTGTACCACACGAATTTCCTGCCCAAAGTGTCAGAGTGATAGATTTAATAACGTAGTACTTGTATACCTACTCAATTTGTTTCTACTTGATCCAGGGACTAGAGTAGTTTGCTGAAATGTAAGTACATTTAGGGTTTTCTTATTGGTGTCGGGCTTACAGGCGACTATGAAAGAGAGCTGCTAGGTTGTAAAATCTACTGGTTGACGACTCTTCAAAGTGCCCTCGCCCAGGTAGGGTGCTCCATTTAGATAGTTAGAAATCACTAAGAAAAGCCGTCAGTTCAGTAGAAAGTCAGGAAAAATAATAACAAAATGCTATCACACGGTTGGAAACTTTGAAAGTAGAGAGAATCGGAAGAATCATATAAAACGTACGCTTCAGAAACTCCAAATAAGTGGTCGGTAGGGCACAGCGAGGGATACAGACAACATGCCCTTGCTCATTTGTGCAGGGGCACATTCGAGATAAATGTGTTTTCATTAATATGACTTCTGTGTAATATATTTTGAGAATTTATCGAAGTTTTTTTTTCGTACTGCGAGACGTGCAAGCGATATTTTCCACGCGCGTGCGAACCAGGTTTTATAACAGGAGTCAATATATTAAAGCGACCTATTTGATGTATATTCATTTGTTCAACCAGACATTCGAAAACATGAGTACAATACAATAGAAGCAATTAAACTACGAAAATGATACCAGCGTAACTTTTTTTAGATAGAAGAAAGCTTTATATCCGTTCGCATGCGGAAACGCTTTTTCTGTCCAAACTGTGATAGTAGGAGTTGTAATAACCTAGTATTGCTGTTTATACTTTTCACAGAGACTATAGCAGTTTGCAGAAATGAAAGTGTATTTAGGATTTTCTTCGCCCAGAAATGGTGCCCCTTTTTGGGTAGGCATTCTGCGATGTGGCGCCACAACGAGGGACACAGTCAACTCTCCATCATGCCCTTGCTAATCATCAGCGGTAAATATGTTTTTATTTTTTATACAGGACTTCTATGTTTTAGGTTTTCTCGTACATTTTTCTTAAGTACCGTTGGGCTTGGTTATTGTCTTCAACTAGCAAAGCTGTGATAAACTTCAACGATTGAACAGTGCCAAAGTCCGTCAAAAAGAGGAAAAAGTGAAGGAAGGTTTTCCTCTGGGTCCATGGCCGAGCTGTTGAACAGGGATCCGGGATTTAAAAGATCATCGCTAGGTATTAATATGGTGTTAATGTAAGTACACGCAAGTATGGTCACAAGATCACGATACACTCCAGCTACTGTATTAAAAACAATTATTACTTTTTTGTGAAGAAATGTTACGCGAGACATGTGGTTAATCATTTTCGGAGAGACTTGGAAAACACATGGCTGACCTAAAATCGTCCAGTGTTTCTGAGGGATGAGATATGTGAAAAGTTCAGGTTTCATAAGTGTATCCGTAGATGATAAGTAACTAGATAAGATAGTAGTAGTAGTAGTAGCAGTAGTAGTAGTAGTAGAGGTAGTAGTAGTTCTGGTAATACTTACGAATATTTGGTATTCACTATTTCTATTTTACTATCAACAGCTGGGTAAAACACCTTTATTTATTGAAAAAACATATTTACAAGTAAAATTGTTCTTATTCTTAGGTATTTCATAGATATTTTGTCTATGATTATTTATGCTTTAAAATCGTCGCGCAAGTGTTATTATTATATATAATATTCCGTATTTCAGGAAGTGTGATGAACTATGATAAATAAATATTGATGATAATGATGTAGTCATTATATTTTCAATTTTAACTCAAATTTGGTATTTACTTTTTTTTAGGTGCATATTTTAAGAGCATATCTATTTTTAGCTAAGATGTGATTGCACATTTCTTATTTTTACGTATTTTACAGAATTGCTATCCTAAAAGTTTCAGGTTCTCTTTCAAAATAATAGCCCAACTATTTGTATAGGGCTTTGGAAGGAGACACTCGAATTTTCAGGAATGGTACAAGTTATAGACAGTCCCGAGCGTCACAAACATGATATAATGAATATTGATGATAATGGCAGCTGTCCCAAAAAGTGTTCTGCCTGGATAGCTGGATAAATGTTTCATGGGCACACACGAGTAGAGTGAAGAAGAACAATAAAAACATGTTAAGAATGATGAAAGTCCCCGATTTATACATCAATATATGAAGACAGCAATCAAACGGACATCAAAATTTTTACAGGGTAAGCATTGGAGAGTACGGCATCAAGAAGGTTGGTTTTGAACTTCGCGAACCCCTGAAACATATATATAACTATTGAGGATTTTGGAAACGTTCCCAAGCGATATATTTTCGAAGCTTACCCTAAGAAGGCCAAACACTTTCCACTCAAAACTGTACTTAAATTTTTGCTGTTTTCCATGAAATACAGATTCAACCTTCTTACAGTTTCAAAATAAGCAGAGGTGTTATTTAAATGTACTTATGTGAACTCTCTTTGCAGATAAATGTGTGAATAATAGTAGTATGGTCTACTGTCAATATATTGATGAAGTTTTACGAAATATTTGCAGCCGGATTCCAAGCAAAAGCTTCGAAAAACGTTCACGATTTCCATACGTTTGAAGAAATTCAGGGACATATTAATTTGGGAAACTAACATAATGACGCCAAAAGTTATATTTCTTCACGCCCTTGAAGATGATTG